AGAGAATAGCACCACACCCACAACCCACCGATCGTCCTTAATACAGAAAAGTTAAAATTATTTGTGAATGTTCATATATATATGAATTATGGGCAATAAATAAAAAGCCATGTGGATATTCATAACAATAATGTAGCGACCTGTGCATAAGAATTGTGTGCAAATAAGCAACAGTTCCAATCGGCCTTTTTATTTATATTAAAATTTTAAGAAATATTTGTTATATTATATTTTATAATTGAGCCAATTACCATTTTACCCGTACTATATTAATTTGCAATTCTTTAGAACTTTGGTTTATCAATGTATTTTTTGGGGTGTTTGAATGTTTGACCATTCTATACTTTTTGCTTTATATATATATATATATATATATATATATATATATATATATAAATGACTAGACGATGCATGCAAATACCTAATATGCTACGTACAATGCATCATATAACGTCCAATTGGTTGCGGTTGCTATCTAAAATAAGAAAACTTGTGTCAAAAGTATGGTGGAGGCCAAAATAAGAAAAGCTATAGGTTTAGCTGAAAAAGTTAGCTCAATGAATAAAGAAAACTGAGTTCAAATAATTGTTGCATCTCATGGATTCCAAGTTTTTAAAACCCTTCTCCCAAATTCCATGACCATCTTATAGCTTTCAGCAGCGACGACAAGATATATATATATATATAGCTTTTGCTTCTAAAGATAAGATTGCCTGTGTTTCCCTGCTTGGCAATGCGTTTTTATGCGTGTTTTTTGTCCGCTTAATTATATGTGCCATTAATAAAGGATTAGTGGCACTCAGATTTAATGGCGCAGTACGTTCTATATTATACTACGTATAGATCAAACTTCTATGGTGTGCACTTGATTAATGTCACCTTTGTGTAGTGAGGTCGAGGACAAACCCTTGTATCAATGGGCCTCGAGAGAGGATTTAGAATAGAGTATTGTAATTTGTACAATCTCAACTCACCATCTAGTTTAATATCTCTTCAATATTAAAGGTTGGAACTTGCAGATGTGGGAAAATTAGAGAGAAAATGGGAGTGAGGATGAGAGGGAGGAGTAACAAAATGTGAAAACGAAATCTTGAAAGTGAAAACAATTTGAAATAGATTTTAGTTTTTAGTTTTAGTTTTCACTTTTATTACTTCTCTCTCTCATACTCTCATCTCATCTTCCCTTTCAATCCTATCTACACTCTTATTCTCACTTCCACTCTCCCTTTTTTTTCTCTATACTCCAACGCAAAAGAATAAAAACTAAAAACTAAAATTGAAATGATTATCAAACGGCCCTAAAACTAGCTTAACAAGGATTTAAAAAAAAATTCAACAACAACTATTGAGGGGAGATTCTAAATAATAGTTTTGAAGAACTACGTACAAACTTGTTACTTGGAAGTCGAGTCTATCAGTTGACCCCAAAAAAAAAAAAGTCGAGTCTATCACATTTGTAGTAGCTAGCTAGAAGCTTAAATTCGTCTGCCTCTAGATTGTTTCAGTGGTCATTTGATTTGATGCAATTTTTTAGTGGGCAAAAGAAATCTCTCACTATGAAAGCAACATTTTCTTGGACGAACACTTTTCAGGGTGTAGCTGCAGTTAGGAGCTTGATTGTTTATGCGTAAGCAAAAATAATTGGAAGCTCCACCAAAGTTAAAAAAAAGTAATAAATTGTTGTTAAAAAAAAGGGACATCGAAGCTTCATTTTCAATATATTAGGTATTTTTTATGCAGCGTAATATAGACGCAATCAAACAATTAATCTAATAGAATTAAAAATTTTAAATTCACCAAATATGAGAAAACCTCAAGTTTATTGAATTCAAAATGATAACATAATGCCATAGTTATGGGCTAAAGTTGGTTTAAAGACTCCTAGAAATCCTAGGAAAACCAAAGGAAGTAGAAAGGAAAATTAACAAAAGTTTTCCAAAAACTAGTAAAATATTAAAACACAATTTTGGGCTACTAAACGATCTCAAATGCCCGAAAAGGTCCACACGTCATGGAAAAACTATGAGTTTAACTTGTGACGTCGTTCCTTTCTAAACGACGGATTATGGGCCCAAATATGAGCTCAAGGCCCAAACTAGCAGCTTCCCGGTTTTGCCTTTTCACGCATAACTCTCCAACTCCTCTTCTATCGCCTCAATCATCTGTTCTACATCATCTTTGGTTAAGGTTTTTGGAGTCACTTGGTGGAATGGAGGTCCCCTTCAATAATATTTGAAACCAGTACAATAAAACCAACAGAGTTTCCTATAGATGTTAGGTCAATGGTTAGGTTCTTAAGGTCCGTGGAACCCATCTAGCCAGCTAGCCACATCCTTGTCATACACGTCAAATAAAGTGCTTATAGAAAGAAAAAAAATGGTCATCAAATATTAAATATAAAGAGAAAGGGTTAGAAGATGATTAAGGTTGAAGATATAAAATTGTTTGTTGAGAATTTGCCGTCGGGCTGAGAGATTAGGTATGACTAAAATACAAAATTACTTGCAAAAAATACGACTATTCACCATATTCTAAGGTCTAGGCCATCTAGCCACATATATGTGCAAATTAATTAGTTTTCTTGAGGTTTTTGAAATTTTTGTCCCGACTGTCTCGTTTATGATCATTACGTAGGTAAAAAAAGACAGCAATATGCAGGTACTTTCATGCAGATATGACAACTTCATTTTCTAACTTGCCAGTTCAAATGTACCACTCAGGCTTTCCATTTTTGGTCTTATGATGTCATATGTGAGTAATTGTAAGTTGTTATTCACTATAATAGACATCAAAATTTGCTTATACAACGGATAGCATTGTCGATATATATAGATCCTAATCATGTACCATGTCAGTATATAATTTTGTTTGGTTACATGTTTGTGGCTATTTGATTTTAAGAGAGTCAAAGTTGTAGCTGGAGGAGGAATATCCAAGTTGTCTCAAGACAATTTGAGAGTCCAAACAAAATGGAAAGTAAAAGGCCAAGCAATGAAGACAGAGAAGACGGCCGGTGAAAGACATGAAAGGATTTGATGGTGTTGTGTTGTGTACGTACTACACCGTCGTATAGCGCTTAGGGCAGTAGGTAGCATATATTGTCATGAACCACCATTGAAGTGAAAGACCAAAGACCTTCGAAGATGATGAGTCTCCATAATATTATGCGACAAGGAGAGAATACAGAAAATCTAAAATTATTTGTGCCAAATTGACTGTTCATGTATGAATTATGAGCAATAAATAAAATGCCCCATGTGAATATTCTAAGAATATTGTAAGTTTTGGATGAATAAACATAGCAATCGTGTAGACCCTGTGCATATGAATTGTGTGCAAATAAGCAACAATTTTGTGACTTTTGACATAATGTTCATTTGGAAAACAAGAAGAAGAAAGAATCTACCATATAACACTTCAACCTTTTGGTTTTCTTACTTACACATTATATTTCAGTGTGGATAGTTTGTTTTTTAAGATATTGGGGGAAACTATAAAAAAATTTAGATGATGTATCGAAAACTATATAAACATTACTATGTCAGTAAATCAAGATTAGATTACTCACGTTTTCTTTTTATTTATCAAAAGCAAAGATAATTTTTACAGGGATTTGAGAGGAAGAAAGGATGACTTAGTTCTTAACTCTAGAAAAATCACCAAATGTTGAGTGATTTTCTCCATTAATCACATCGTACATGACAACTCATTCTGATGTTCATTATCTAACCCATCTTGAGAGCAGTAATCATAAAATAATCATCATTAAGAATTTAACCTCTGCTTGAGGCGTAAGAAACCGCTCAATTGAATCACCTCCTTTCTGAGTAGTTTACAATTCGGTATTCAAATGATTAGAAGGATTCATCCAAGCTTCATAAACAGTTTTGTTACCAGTCACATATTTGATATAGCTTCATCAGAAAGTGTAAGCAAATTACAACCTAAAACACGTACGTGTTTTATTCGGCAAAATTTTGGCAAATTACGACCTAAATGTTTGGCCACTATATTATGTTTTAATATAAATTATTTACATTTTTTAATGTATATTATTTGTATTCAATAATATGTGAGAATTATGCATATAATACGTGAATTTTGTGTGTCTTATTGAAATTTTTGTAAAAAACACGTATGTACCTATATAATACAAGTATTACGTTTACTTTTTAAAAAATGTGAACTTTACCGAATCTTTAAGACATGTGCAGAACACAGATGTATTATTAAAAAATACGTATGTACGTGTATAATACATTATTAAACATGAAAGTGCTAAATCCTTTATATGGGTAATAACTTTAGAAAAGTAAAAAATCAAAAGGGGACAATAGAGATTTGGGTAATTGCCTAATAGTAATGGATAATGCTCCAAACTACTCTTATAAAGAAATAATTGACGAAAAAAATATAAAAAAAAAAAAAAAAAAAAAAAAAAAAAAGATACCACTATATTATATATAAAGATTATAGCCGCACGGCTATACTATTTATTATTAAAAAAAACCCAGTAAAGGCCCGTGGTATACTATTTTTTACAAAAATTAAAAAAATCAATTATAGCCCCGCGGCTGTACTATTATAAAAAACAATCAAACGAGGACCCGCCCAGCGACAAGCCCCCACTTGTCAAAAATACGTATAGCCAGCCGGCTATACTATTTTTAAAAAAATAAAAAGCCAGGTATAGCCGATCGGCTACACTATTTAAAAAAATAAAAAACGCTTAGCTCCTGAGCGCCACGTGCCAAAAAAGTAAAGCCGAATACTACTTTTTTTAAAAAAAATTAGGGAAAAATAGCTTAAACACAAGATAACAGCTTCAGTTGCTCAACGGCTATACTACTTTTTTGAATCTTCGAGACGGATAATCTGACCCTGCTACATAGACACCCTAAACTGTTCTAGTCAGATAGACTCAGGCAAATAATACAACTGCGCTACAAAAATTTCTAACTAGTTCGTTCCAGTTCCACAGAGATGAGATCAACAATACCTCATTCCTTTTTCTCCCACACGGTGTAATCCTTTCCAGAAGTCGCAATTTTGAAGGCTGGAGGCACTAGCTTCCCAATGTCAAGCCTTGGACCAATCTTGACTATGATTTTCTCATCGATGGAAGCTACATAGACGTCTGCATTAGCTGATAGAATGCGCAAAGCACTGTCGGTGGGGCAAATTAGATCCCGTTCCTGGATCTGATTGCAGTGAGTTTAGTGATCTCCTCTTTCAGACCCCAGTCAAAGAAGTGGTCATAAAATTGTGACAAAGATAATCAGATAAACAAAGTTGAAGTACGGGCCATAACCATCAAGCCTAAATGGGTTCACTAGGGAACCAGAAAGACCTCAAATACTAGGCGGTGAGAAAATGCTTAATCTAGCAACAATATCACATTATTTTATTTATATGTATTGGAAAGCAAGTTCAAGCTGAGTCTTCACCTCATTTTATAGTAAGCTAAAAGGGCATTTGGCAAGCACTTATGAAACAGAAAGATGGCCCTTTTCTAGCTTGAGAAAAAGAGTAAATTAAATTCCAAGAACTTATAATTGATGGGATCCCTGGATGAGTAAGAATGCAGGCATAGCCCTGCATGATCTTATCCGAGAGCTCCACCCACTGAACCCAACAATTCAGCCCCCCGAAAATACATTAGTCCTACGGAGAGAGACAGAGAGAGGTTATGTATTACTATAAATACCTGAAATAGGATCTGGGAAGCACTGAAGTCGGCTGCAAGAGTGATAGAAAGAAGGAAATAGATGAGGGAAATGCTTAGCGTGTTCATGTTTCCTTGTAACGAAACCAGATCCTTTGATGGAGGTGTGAGAACTTGATTGTTTCGGTAAATTGAAAACCTGACTGTTTTTAGGCCTAAAAATGTGAAATCTTGACTGTTTTGGTAAGTGATTAAAACCTGTATATACACAGAGGTATGAAACCTGGACTGTTTTGATAAGTGAATGTCCTGACTGTCATTCAACGCAGATTGTGGACCATTAGAGACATGCCTTAATTGCTAATTCCGCTGCTATCTATGGTGCGGCTGACATTAACTTGTCCCAACCAATCGCCAATGATGGAGAATTGGAGATGGAGGCACTTGCTCTTTGCTAAGGAACAACAACAAATAAATAAGGTCATGTTATGCTAAGTTTGGTCTCCTAGGTCTACTCTTGATGCCATTTTTACTTTTAACAACTAAGATATTGACGTGTATACTGACACATCATTTGGTGAACAAATTTGGTAAGGAAATTAGGCGTCTCTAATGTTAACCTCTAGTAATGACATTTCAATTGGATTCTTCATAGAAAAGAGTCCGAAGCAGTTTAATTGCTTCCAAAGAAATTCCACATGCAAATTGTATTCACTTTCTTGCATCTTCCAAAGAAACCCCAATTTTTATTTTGGGTAGAGGACTACTATTTGCTTTATTCCTTGATAAATAAGCATAAAATACACTTGCCTAGTTACTTCATTCCACAGATGATATACAAGACCTCATGCTTTTTTCTCCCACACGGCATAATCCTTTCCAGAAGTTGCAATTTGGTAGGTTGGAGGTACAAGGTTCCCAACGTCGTACCTTGAACCAACCTTTGCTATGATTTTCTCATCTATGGCAGCAACGTAGAGATCTGCATCAGATGCTAGAATACGCAAGGCACTGTTGGGTTTGATCTCGTTCCGGGATCTGATTGCAATGAGTTTAGTGATCTCCTCTTTGTAAAAATTTTTTTAAAAAAGGAAAACAAAATGTATAGCCGCGCGGCCATACTATTTAAAAAAAATAAAAGAACCACGTATAGCCGCCCGGCTGTACTCCTTTTTTTTTGGTCGCACGGCTGTACTGTTTTAAACAATAAAAAGAAGAAGAGTATAGGTGAAACAAAGTGAGTCTCGCCGTGCGGCTATACTATTTATTAAAAAAATAAAACAAAAACCCAGTAAAGCCGACCGGCTATACGATTTTTAAACAAAGAGCCGCTCGCCTGTACTATTTATGAAAAACTAAAGACGCCCCTCCCAGCTAATAGGCTCTCACGTGTTAAATAATTATAGCCGGGCAGCTATACTAGTTTTAGAAACATTATTAAAACCGAGTATAGCCGTACGGCGATACTATTTTTAATAAAAAATAGAAAACTGAGTATAGCCCGGCGGCCATACGATTTATATATATTAAAAAAAGACCAGCTTAGCGCCTAGGTACCACGTGTCAAAAATAGTACAATAGCGCGGCTATACGATTTTAAGAAAAAAATTAGGAAAAATGGTATAGCTGAGCGCCTATACTATTTTAAAAAATAGGAAAACGGGTATAGCCGGTCGGCGGTACTATTATTCAATATTGGTCTGATGTTTTGGGTCGAGCCCAAGAAATTTAAGAAGGAGAAGCAGCTAGCAAGCCCATCCAGAAATGTGGGAAAACGAAGTTAATTAAACATCTGTCAATTTAGATTCATAACTATCTCCACCGTCCACGTGTCCATATCCTCAAACCGCCATTCACAATGTCAATCCCTAATTTTATTTTTCTTGTTATCCCAATCCAGCTCTCAGTCCTCGTTCACAAAATTATCGAATATCACCTGAGAGGTTTGAAGAAGAAGTAGAAGAAACCAACCGCAAAGCGAAAATGTTGAGGCTTGCGGCGAAGAGACTTCTCCAAGGGGGGCGGCTAGGGTCACATGAGGCTCAGTCACCGGCGGTCCTGAGCCTGCCACGTTTTTACCATGAGAGGGTGGTGGACCACTACGACAACCCGCGCAACGTCGGATCGTTCGACAAGCATGATCCTACGGTGGGCACGGGACTCGTCGGTGCGCCCGCTTGTGGCGATGTGATGAAGCTCCAGATTAAGGTCGATGACAGCACGGGAAAGATTGTTGATGCTTGCTTCAAGACCTTTGGCTGTGGATCGGCCATTGCCTCTTCTTCTGTCGGTTAGTCACGTTTATGTGCATATTTGTTTATGTAATTGTTTGTTTGGTTGCTTAGAAAATTTTAGGGCAGAAAGGATTGAATTTTTTAAAATAGAAATCGAATTTTGAAGTATGCTATATCGAACTTATTGATTGGAACGAAAGTTTTGCTAGTTTAATTAATTCTGCTATGCTTTGCTTGGTTGAGGTAGAAATTGGAGGCATTGAGCAGCTTATAACTTGTTCTGTTGGTTGTGAATTAAAATTTTAAGTTATTTAAATTGAATTAATACGTTTTCTGAGTTTGCGTATTTCATTCCAATTTGTATTATCGGTTTATTGAGGTATGATTAATTTATGTATTTGTGTAATCGTTTTGGATGCCTTTTGGATGCCTCTTTTTATGAAAATTTAGGGTTGTGCGAAATTATTGTTTATTGAAATTACTTTGTTGCTTTGTGGGAAGTTGCTATTCTCTGAAGCCAGTCAATGAGGGATCATATATTTTATAGAGAGTTGATAAATTATTGTTACTGTTTCATGGCATGTGATGCTTTCCTTGCTTAGTTTTAGTTCCTAATTTGTCTGATATGATTCTTTCTGGACTGGTACCATCGATTTTAATTGTCTAATATTGGGTTTCTATCTTCTTCCAGCTACTGAATGGGTAAAGGGGAAACAAATGGAGGAAGTCTTGACTATTAAGAACACGTGAGTTCTGCTATCCTGATTATAACTTTATCTAATTTATTTTGTTCATCTTTCTTGCTGATAATTTAACATGGGTCTTGATTTGTAATTGAGTGAATGTTTTGGGTTTGCAGTTTTATCATGTTAGTTTGATTCCTGCAATATTCACTTGTGGACTTTGTATGAAACCTGTGATTTTGCTGTTAAATTCTCTTCATTGAGTTAATATTGATATCCAAGATACTTGCCAATGGAAATTCTATGCTAATTTGGTTTGTAAGTATTTATTTGTGGACTTTGATTATATGCTATTGCCTAATGGGAGGGGTTTTATGTTGTGTATTTCTTCGTCTTGTGTTGTCAAATAGCCTTGTCTGGTACCCCTTTCGCCTACTAACAGTCCCAATATTGACCATTTTACTATAGTGATTTCTGTTTTCTGTTCGAGGTGTGGTATGCCGTTGCTTATACTTGTTCTTCCAAGCAGAATTTCTTCTGCTGGAAGCTTTGATATTCTATTTCTGCTTCTAACATTTTTGCTCATTGTTTTGGTTGGTTCTTTTGAATTTCCTGCAGAGAGATTGCAAAACATCTCTCTCTTCCTCCTGTTAAGCTTCACTGCAGCATGCTCGCTGAGGATGCTATCAAGGCAGCTATTAAAGATTATCAGGCCAAGCAAACCAAATCAAATGGCAGTACAGGGGCAACTCCTGTTGAGAAGGCTGCTAATGCTTGATTTTTCTTCGTGCAAAATGATGATGAAAAATATCTGGGTCCAGTTTTCCACCTGTTGGTTGCCTACTAGTTATTGTAATAATGGTTGTACTGGATTAGACTAGCGTCAAAGCTTCGTATTTCCTATGTGTTTTTTGTTGTCGGATTGCACATGTATGAACAAACAAGTTCGTAAGTATACTGTAAATTAGAGATATGAAGGCTGTTTTAAATGCGTTCCTGATTTCAATAAACAATTTAATTATTTATGCAATTTGATCTTCATATGAATATTATTTATGTGGCTTTAGCTTTTCAAGTTCTTAAGTGCTCTTTCTGGCTCATTCTTAATTTGAATAAAGTCTTTGAATATGTGAAGTCTCTATATTGATATGAAGCATTATAATTATTTGTTTATACTAAGCATATTTGGTTGAAATTATTCTATTAAAACGTTGAGATAATTGTTGGTGAAATTAATGAAAATAATTATGTGTGCTAACCTTGAGGTCCTGTTAGTTCGCGGAAAGGATTGAGAAATAGTAGCAATGTCGGCCTTGGGAACGCCCAGGGCCTCAAGAGCCCATATTTTAAAAATTAAACATTAAAACTTATTAATTTGTATTGGAACAACAAACATTCAATTAATTCAGTATTTTTTTTTTAAGAAAATGTTTAGTTTTTCTAATTTGATGGTTTTTTTGTTATGAATTTTTAAAAAATGTTGTATGATTTATGTACTTTTTTATATATTTTAATTTGATGAGATTACTATACTGAAGATAAAGATAAAATACATGTGCATATATATTATTTTTCTTGCTGAATTATATACAAAGAAAAATGATCTCATTTTAATTTATGCCCCGGGCCTCTCAAAAGTCAAGGCCCTCCCTGCTATAACAGAAAATAATATGCGGTCATTTCTGATTCCCATGAACTCATAAGGGTCCTATATTTTTAATTTCCTCCAATATTTTACCAATAAAAAAACAACATCAAAAGGTAAGATGAAAAAGTAGTGTTTCTGTTCTTTATCAATAAATTTTTTTGGAATTAGACGCGATGCCCTTATTTTATCTCACGTTAACATGCAATTCATGTTTTTATTATAAGAAATGCAATTCATGTTAGTCCTTCATTGTTAGGAGAAGAATTGAAGTGACAAAATATTCATGTCCGATTGTGTAAAATAAGTGTGATTGTTAACTATCCTGTATCTCATACAAAAATGTTTGAGAACAGATATTACTTTACTAACACCTCCTCTCTCAAATACTTTCAGAATAGAAATTGTAACAAATATGCTTCATCTAACTTATCAGCATGTTCTCTTTCAATTTTATTTGCTATTTGTGTTCTAGTTAAAAGTTAAACAAAAACATTTGAAGAATTATGAATCACCGAACAATTAAGGGAGAATAAAATATAATTTATTATTATTTTATGAACAGAAAAGTAAGATGATTCGAATTTTAGACTTCTTCCAATATACACTAATTTAAGTATCTTTAATGGAGCGAAAATATAACAATAAATAAGTTATAAATAATTGACTAAATGAAAAAATAATAATAATAATAATTTTTTTAAAGTGGAAAATGTTTGTTAACAAAAAGGCCTTAACTGGGCCATACGAACTCAGCTCTTTCCATTTTCCACAGTTTTGTTTGACTGACCGGGTCGATTATCGGTTGCCTATTCCCAGAGGCGGCGCGAAATCCACGAAACTATCACGCGCTTCCTAAGCGAGTACGTTTACAACAGCCACCTACCCGCCAGTCACAGAAGCCAAACCGATCACAGACCCAACCATTGCTGACTTCCCCAGTCCATACATACAACGAAAGGACCAACCTTTTTTACTCTCTCCCCTAATCTCTTCCTAAATCCTTACTCTGTTGTTGTTGTTGTCTTCAATCCTGCATTCTTCCCCACCATTGCAATTAGATTCAATTCATACTTTCACACTTTTAAGGTCAGCATTTTGTTTTTGTTCACACACTCCTTGTTTGTTAGATTCATATGCAGTTCAACCAGCTCTCTTCCACTCTCACTTCCACTTCCTCACCTAACCCGTTATTATTTTTTTATTGGATCATTTTTAATCACTAGTCTACCATTCTTTATTGTTTTTTAGCTTCTGGGTCAATTTCCTTATCTTTTTTGGTTTGCTGTAAACTTAGGTGGTCCAGATGCATTTAAATTTCGATAATTTCCTCGAATTCTTCATTATTGGAAGTTGTTACTTGGGTTTCTCTCTTTATTTGTTTGAATCATTTTTTTATTGTTTACCGTAGGAAGACAAAGTGGCCATATAGGCCAACAAAAACAGTTGTGAAGTGGGTGGTAGGAGGGATTTTGGATTAATGGCTAGTCTAACAGAGGACCCAGTTCTTGGAATTAGCGATATAAAAGACAGAGAGGAAGAAAATGAGAAAGGCAAAACCCAAGTGGTTAAAACAGAAGAGGTTGGTCAAAGTGAGAGAGATATGGCTTCGGCAACCGGGAATTCGATTCACCGGTCTGGTTCTCGGCCTCAGTTAGACCTCAGCAAAGCTGCTATTCAAGGGAACTTTGAAGAGAGGGACCCCACTATTCTTCTGCCTAATCAGTCTGATGACTTATCTCATTTGGCTTTGGACATAGGAGGTATAGTTAGATAATTCACTTGTTTTAGGACAAGTCTTGTGATTTCTGGATTTTAACCTCTCTGTTTTGTTGGTTTGGTAATTCAGTTGTAGTTTTCACTGCATAGGATTGTGTTTTCTTTTGATCTCTGTTTATATTTTTAGCTTAAAGTGATCATTTTTGTTTGTTTGTTTGTTTGAGGAAACTAGAAGTTTGAGTTGGTGCAGAGAAAGGGTAATTATGCATGTCATGAGTTGCCCAATGAGAATTACGTAATTGTGATCAATGGTTCTATAATTGCTGGTGTTTTTAGTTTGACGCGAACTTGGTAGTATTCTTATCATATAGACCTCAGTGCCTGGTTGTGAGAGATTACATATAAAATTATGCTCATCTATTCACCCGTTTCTTGCATGTTTCCCATTCTAGTAAGTTGGAGAAAGTTGTTTTAGTCTGTTTATAAAGATCGGCATTTTGAAATTATTTAATGGTTTACTGGCAGGATCTCTCATCAAGTTAGTGTATTTTTCTAGACATGAAGACCAATCAATTGATGATAAAAGGAAGAAAACTTTGAAGGAGAGATTGGGAATATCCAATGGTAATAGGAGAAGCTACCCAATTCTTGGTGGGAGGCTTCATTTTGTGAAGTTTGAGACGAACAAGATTAACGAGTGCTTAGACTTCATCTATTCTAAGCAGCTTCACCGTGGTGGTATTTTCATCTTGCTGTTCTTTTCCCTTGTTTTCATCATTTTCTTCATAGCTAAGCATAGTAGATTGCTTGAACTTGTAACATTATAGTTTTTAAAAACAAAATTGTGGATAGGAATGGATGCTCGGATCTGGAATCCTGATGCCCCAACCAATGAAAATGCTGTAATCAAGGTAATATGTGTGTTTATCAAACTGGTTTTGTATTTAGTAATTCTATTGTATCTGTGTATTTTTAAGAATCATACTAATATTTATGAGTTGATTCTTGTGCAAAGGCCACAGGTGGTGGGGCATACAAGTTTGCAGACCTCTTCAAGGAAAGGCTTGGAGTTAGTCTTGACAAGGAAGACGAAATGAATTGTCTTGTCTCTGGAGCAAATTTTTTACTCAAGGTGGATATTGATATGAGATCCCGTTATTCTTTGTTATGCATTAATTTTTTGCTCATTCATGACTTGCTGATAGCTCTATAAATTGTGTCGATACCATATAGAGATGTAATTAAGTACTTCTATCTAATTATCTTTTAGTGCATTTTTACCTTCTATCCTCCATGATAATCGTACTTCTCTGAAAGGTAATTAGATGTTTTACCATGATTCTAGTAGGCAATTCGTCATGAAGCTTTCACACATATGGAGGGTCATAAAGAGTTTGTGCAGATTGACCAAAATGAATTATTCCCGTATCTTCTAGTCAATATTGGGTCCGGTGTTAGTATGATTAAGGTAAGTCTTCTTTATGTTTTTCTTTTTGCTAATTGTGGAGACTTATTGAGTTTATTACTTAACAAGTAACCTAAGTTGGCATAGGTTGATGGAGATGGCAAATTTCAGAGGATAAGTGGAACAAATGTTGGTGGTGGTACTTATTGGGGCTTGGGAAGGCTGTTAACAAAGTGCAAAAGGTTAATTTGTCCTTCTGATTTATTTTCTGTTGCTGTCTGTTTCATCTCATCTGTTTCCAGAATTTTTGTCTGGGTCTTTGACTAAAACATTCCCATATCAGTTTTGATGAGTTGTTAGAGCTCAGTCAACTGGGAGATAATAGGACTATAGACATGCTTGTTGGGGACATTTATGGTGGTATGGACTACTCAAAGGTATGCATTAATTTGAACTTCTTGCTGTAATCTTTGGGGTATGCAAATTGTCTGTTCTGTTCCGAACACTACTTTGAATCCAGATATCTTAATATTAGATATCATGAATTATAGAACTTTCCTTAATCTAGTGGAGTGACTAAGCATCCCCTTATCATAAAACATATTATAGATCGGTCTCTCTGCATCAACCATTGCTTCAAGTTTTGGGAAAGCTATTTCAGAAAACAAGGAGCTTGAGGACTACAGTCCAGAAGATATATCCCTATCTCTCTTACGAATGATTTCTTATAATATTGGGCAGGTACGTCTGAAATTACAAGAGCATGTTATGAAAATGCAATTTATGTTGTACCTTATTCGAATAGGTGAGATCTGAAGATGATAACATGTGTCGCCTTACTGTTTATCTTGTTCTAAATAATTTTTATTTATGATGATAACATATATGTATCTTTTAATGGATTTAGCACTTGACTTGACTTATGTTATAGTCTATAGATTGTTCTTGCTTTTATGTACTGCTTTTGGTGATTTTCAACTTTATATTAGCTTACCAACAAGCATCATGCATTTAATACATGAAGTATCCTTGTACCACTTGAAGCATCAATAGACTCAGTACATTGTAATACCTCCACATACCTGAGGTCGAATGTTCTGTGTGCATGTGCGCTTGTGTGGGTGTGTATTACTATTTGCAATTTTTTGTTCTAATTACAATATGCTTCTATTAATACAGTTCCTATTATTTTGTCGAAGCTGTTAACAGATTGTAATTTGGAGCACCATGGGTGTTGGCCATCTTCTTGAATTACCTTAATTTTCTCTTTAATTATTTTTTGTTATTGTGAATAATCGTTTATATGTAACTATTCCTTCCTATAATTGTCTGACAACTTATAAATGAGAACCAATAGATGTGCTGATTCCTGCTGTGCAGATATCTTATCTAAATGCACTACGATTTGGTCTCAAGCGAATATTTTTTGGAGGTTTTTTTATAAGGGGTCATGCTTATACCATGGACACTATCTCTTTTGCGGTTCAGTTCTGGTACATATTACAACTTACAATATCAAGAATTAGACGTTTATATGTCTTTTAGTTTTTTATGAAACTAAGGATCAAATCAGTTCTGTTGCTCATGTCTTCCCAGTTGTTTTTCCCAAAATTTTCTTGGTATTTTCAATTTGAGCATAATTTCTTAATTGTTTTATCTTGCCATTTGAAAATTTTGTGTATAATTTTTAGGTCAAAAGGGGATGCACAAGCAATGTTCTTGAGACATGAAGGGTTTCTGGGAGCTTTAGGTGCATTTATGAGCTATGAAAAGCATGGTCTTGATGACTTGATGGTCCATCACTTAGTTGAAAGGTTTCCAATGGGTGCACCATATACAGGAGGAAAGATTCATGGTCCACCACTCGGGGATTTGAATGAGAAGGTAAGTGTTATCAGAGTTGGAAAGACCTGACCTGGAGCAGCTGACTCTCTGGTGTTAACGGATCTGGGTTGTATGTTTTTCTCATGTTTAGTTTGGGGAAGTCATAAATCGGCCAGGGAAAAAAAAGAAGCTTAATGTCATGGCCTGTGTATGAGTGTCACCCCATTTACCATCTGAATGCCCCACAATGTATCACATCTTTTTTCTGGGAGTGAAACAAAATAAGAATTTCTGTCGAATAGCGTGGTGTATACAAAGAGTAGGTAGAAATTAAGGTATTAAAGTTGGAAAAGAGACTCCACTACAATGATTCTCGTAGAATTTATTCTATTCCAAAACCAGTAAACAAAAAAACAAAAAACAAAAAACTCAGGCATCTTTAAAGATTAGATTATTGTGGCAACTATACAGGCATATATTCTGTCTAAAGACCAACTTTGCTCAAAAGAAAAAGGTTTGAAATCTATAGATGAATTACTATAAGAGCTGCTAGACTCTGGATTACGGAATAGGAAAAATGGTAGAACAGAGAGCTACAGGTTGAGCAATCAGCTGCAGTTTCTATTGTGACGACTCTTCAGTATGTACAAGGCTAAAAGCCATTGTTTCTGACTGATCTCACCATGAATGCTCCTGTATATCATTCTTGATTGGGAGGGCTTTGATTTGATCATACTTAGGTCTTTGCTTCATGTTGTTAACCAGGATTTGATTGCCTTCTCGTTCATCCTACTTGTATCTATTTCTTTACTGATAAAATTTGAGTTTTTATAAAAATAAAAATAAAAATTATAGTCTCATCTTTTGCTTTATACTGGAATTCTAGTCTTTGCACATATACCTTTTCAGTATGCGTAAGAAATTTTAAGTTATGTGGTTTGGAAACCTTGAATGCAGATTTCATGGATGGAGAAGTTTGTTCGGAAGGGGACTGAGATTACTGCTCCAGTACCAATGGCTCCACCTGGAACTACTGGACTTGGAGGCTTTGAAGTTCCTTCATCCAAAGGAGGTACTCTACGTTCTGATGCAAGTGCTTTAAACATTGGGGTTCTACATCTTGTACCCACTTTGGAAGTCTTTCCATTATTGGCGGACCCAAAAACGTAAGTTAACTTACAGATTGTTGTTGCTCACTGCTCTACTAAGATTGTAGCCAGGGCTTAGCTTGGTAAACCTCCCTTCCAAAATGGAGGTCCCAAGTTCAAGTACGCCCTTCCCAAATGTCATAATATCCTCAAAAGCTTGTGCCTTTACGGAACTTTGGCAGTTTCATTCAGTGTATTGGTATCCTTTACAGTGATGCAAGTGAGACCTTAATATGTTTAGTGCTGTCATGGGCACATCTTGTACCAGGATCTTAATGATTTGTGTTTTTGTTGATGATCTCTCATGTCACTCACTTTGTAGTTCATATTTAGCTTTAAGTTTCGATGTCTTTTAATCTTAATTAATAGATATTGGTTGCATTTCTCTAATTGATTCTGTTGTACTTAAACTAGAATCGTTGAGCGTTAACCTCTTAAGTCCTGTGTTTATTTTATGACGGTGCAGGTATGAGCCTAACACTATCGATCTCTCAGATCACGGCGAGTTAGAGTGAGTACATGCTGTTAGTTTTCTGTTTGTTTGGATTTCCTTACAACTCATCTGTACAATATTAGTTGTTATAATTGGTAATTTGAAACTATACGTTTCCAAAAATATGGATGTTTTGTTTTTTATGGGTAATTTGAGGTGTTTTTGTGCTATATAGGTATTGGTTTACTGTGCTGTCAGAGCATCTACCTGATCTCGTTGATAAGGTAAACATTAGCATCAACCAGAGCATCTGTTTCACAGAACCAAATTTTGTTTCCCTGTCTAAAGGTTTATAGGCAACCAGATCTGCATAAGTTATAGTTAAATGTGGAAAATATTTAAAAGTTACTTTCAGAAATCACTGATTTGAAAATGTCTTTGGTTTTGTTTATATGGTTATCCATTTCCAGTTTGTTACTGTTCTTTGTGTATTCAGTTTCTTCCTTGTTTATATTCATGTAAACAGAAAATCAGATTGGATATGTTTTATTATTGATTTATGACTTTGAGAGTTCAATGTGAAATATGGTAGGCAGTGGCAAGTGAAGGTGGAACAGATGATGCTAAAAGAAGGGGTGATGCTTTTGCTCGTGCTTTTTCTGCTCACTTGGCACGGTAACTATGCTCTCTTAGAGATTATTTCTATGCTTTGTTTCATATAAAATTTTGGACAGCTATGAGGCTTGAAACTAGCTTCTGTGTGTTATACATGTGCAGCGTGCATGTGAATCTGTAGTTGCCTTATGTGCAAGTTTGTAGAGTTATCATGTGTCCCTTCCGAAACCAGTATTTTTTATAGATAATTTGTTCTTAGAGATCAATGAAGGTGTACTTGTTCCATTTAAAAACTTCCAACTCGCTGTATAGGTTGATGGAGGAGCCTGCTGCATATGGAAAGTTAGGGTTGGCCAATCTATTGGAACTGAGAGAAGAATGCTTAAGGGAGTTCCAATTTGTTGATGCCTATAGAAGTATAAAACAAAGGTAATTGCATTTAATTCATGAAGCAACCAAGATGATATCAATCTGATTCTAGCGTATTTCTATTGAGTTTAACAGATATGGTCTTTAGACAAGTGAATTTGATCAAAATATGAAAGATCTCAAAATGAAAGAATTGTAAAAGGAAAATAGAAAGTAATGCTGAGGTAATTACACTGGACCAGTGGTGCGCCTCAACTATTTCACCCCTTTTTATTCTAAGCCTCATCCCCTCGTTTATGAATGCAACAGAGAAAATGAGGCATCACTTGCTGTTTTAGCTGATCTGCTGATGGAGCTTGATAGTATGACTGAGGTATGCTTCCCATAGTTTATTCAATATAGTGGTTATCATACACCATTATGATATCAGCTGATATTTATCTGATTCATCTTTCTCTGTCTTTGCAAAACTTTATCCAAAAGTATGAAAAGCCCATCTGGCACTTTTTGAACCATTGTTCTGATCATTTGAAACTTTATTAATTTGCAGGAAAACAAGACTGCTTACCCTTATTGAAGGTGTTCTTGCTGCAAACATTTTTGACTGGGGATCTCGTGCCTGTGTGGATCTCTATCACAAAGGAACGATTATTGAAATTTACAGAATGAGCCGCAATAAGATGCAAAGACCTTGGCGGGTAAGTGGAATTTAAAATCAAGTTCCTATGTCCTTTCAATTCATTTAAATTAATTATTAATGGCTATGCTTGTGTAAAAGAGCTTTAATCTTTTATTAGGTGGATGATTTTGACGTTTTCAAAGAGAGAATGTTGGGATCTGGAGATAAGAAACCTCGTCCACATAAAAGAGCTTTGCTATTTGTGGATAACTCAGGTGCTGACGTTATTCTAGGAATGCTGCCCCTAGCACGGGAACTTCTCCGATGTGGAACGGAAGTAAGTTTATTTTGCATGTAGTTGCCTAAGGTAGCTTATTTTTGTATATAATTAAATTATGTAATAAAAATGTTGTAATGAGATTGCTTTTGCAGGTTGTTTTGGTTGCCAACTCCCTTCCAGCTCTAAATGAGGTAACTGCTATGGAACTTCCTGAAATTGTTGCTGAAGCTGCCAAGGTTGGTTTCAAGCATGATTAAGTCTTTTAACCTTTTTTTCCTATATATTATATATCTAAATAAAAAGAACTGATACTCTATCGACAGCATTGTGACATTCTTCGCAGAGCTGCTAAAGCGGGGGAGGCTTACTGTGGATGCATGGTTAGCACTCTAAGATGATTTTTTTTTTAAAGGAAATTCTCTCAGTTACGTTGATGGTTGTTGCAGAAATGGTTGTGGCCGGTCCTGGCATAGAATTACGGCAGGTTACGATCTGAGCTAGCTGCTGCTGGAAAAGAGGACGATTTGGTATGATGGATAGTGCAGTTAATAATCATTGCCGCATTACTTGGTAAATAGAGTAAACACAAAGAAAGAGGAATAGAGGAAAGGAAAAAACTCTGCAAATCACTAATTTGACCAAATGCTACCCTTGAGATTATATTGGAGGGATGGGCAGAAGGAGAATCTTCATACCAACTTCAATGCAAGGTTTACATGATTGCTGGAAAGGTGAGATTGCTATGCATGTCTTATTTTGGAAGGTGGGGAAAATTTTCCTCAATTACAAAGAACTGATGAGACATAGATTTGTTTTACACTATCGTAACAAGAAAACTTGTCTTGCCAGTGCAATGGTGAGAAATCAAAGGTTGACCCCCCCCGCCCTCCCTGTGGCAAGAAAATTGAATCAAGGGAACAAGACAGCTGCGCGTGTGCGATATGAACCACTAGCAAAAAGAACGGATTAACAACAGGTGGTAGGGTCTGATGGCAAGCGTGGGTGGACTGGATTTCTGGAGACACCAAGTGATGCAAAACTGATAAGATTAGACTTGCGATTAAGAGGACCAGATTTATGGAGCGGCATGGTTGTGTCGTCTATGAATCAAAGTAATTGGTAGTCAATGTGACGAAGCTGGGTCTATGCCGCCCCTGCGACTACAAGACAAAAGCAAGTCTTAGTCCAAAGCATATTTAGTGCAATAAAAAAAAAAAAAAAAAAAAAAAAAAAAAAAAAAAAAAAAAAAAAAAAAAAAAAAAAAAAAAAAAAAAAAAAAAAAAAAAAAAAAAAAAAAAAAAAAAAAAAAAAAAAAAAAAAAAAAAAAAAAAAAAAAAAAAAAAAAAAAAAAAAAAAAAAAAAAAAAAAAAAAAAAAAAAAAAAAAAAAAAAAAAAAAAAAAAAAAAAAAAAAAAAAAAAAAAAAAAAAAAAAAAAAAAAAAAAAAAAAAAAAAAAAAAAAAAAAAAAAAAAAAAAAAAAAAAAAAAAAAAAAAAAAAAAAAAAAAAAAAAAAAAAAAAAAAAAAAAAAAAAAAAAAAAAAAAAAAAAAAAAAAAAAAAAAAAAAAAAAAAAAAAAAAAAAAAAAAAAAAAAAAAAAACCCCGTTTATGAATGCAACAGAGAAAAAGAACAAGGCCCTCACTGCTGTTTTAGTGATCTGCGATGTGAGCGTGATAGTATGACTGAGGTATGCTCATAGTTTATTCCATATAGTGGTTATCATACACCATTATGTATTCGTGATATTTATCTGATCATCTTCTCTGTCTTGCAAACTTTATCAAAATATGAAAAAGACCATTGGCACTTTGAAAACCATTGTTAGGATCATTTGAATACTTATTAATTTGAGGAAACAAGTACTTGGATTACACTATTGAAGGTTGTTTCTGCTGCAAACATTGGTGGCAACTGGGATCTCGTGCGTGTGGACATCTAGACCAAAGGAACGATTATTGAAATTTACAGAATGAGCCGCTATAAGATGCAAAGACCTTGGCGGGAAGTGGAATTTAAAATCAAGTTCCTATGTTCTTTCAATTCTTTAAATAATTATTAAATGGCTTGCTTGGTCAAAGAGCTTTTTAATCGTGATTTAGGTGGATGATTTTGACGTTTTCAAAGACCGGAATTTGGATCTGGAGATAGAAACCCTCGTCCACATAAAAGAGCTTTGCTATTTGGGGATAAACTCAGGGCTGACGTATTTAGGATGCGCCCATAGCACGGAACTCTCCGATTGGAAGGAAGAAGTTTATTTTGCATGTAGTTGCCTAAGGTAGCTTATTTTGTATATAATTAATATGTAATAAAAATGTTGTAATGAGATTGCGTTGGCAGGTTGTTTGGTTGCCAACTCCTTCCAGTCCAAATGATGTAAACTGCTATGGAACTTCCTGAATGGGCTGAAGCTGCAAGGTTGGTTTTCACGCATGGAGTAAGTCTTTTTTTTAACATTTTTTTTCTTATATTAATATCTAATAAAAAGAAACTGCTCTTCTATCGACAGCATTGTGAATGTTTCGCCAGAAGCAGGCTGAAGCGGGAGGGGCTTACTTGTGGATGCAATGGTAGCACTATCATCTAGATGATTCTAAAGGAAAGTCATCTTCAGTTCCGTTGATGGTTGTTGAGAATGGTTGTGGCAGTCCTTGCCTAGACTTACGCAGGTCAGCTCTGAGCTAGCTGATGCTGCGAAAGAGGCGATTTGGTTGATGCTCGTTTCAGTTACTGAAATCATTGTCCAGGCAGTACGTATAATAGAGTAAACACAAAAGAAGAAGGAACGAGGAAGAATAAACTTCTGCAAACAACTAGATTTGCCAAAATGCGACCCATGCAGATTAGCTTGAAGGATGGCATGAGCTCTTCATACAACTTAAATGCAAGGTTTAAATGCGATGCTTTAAAGGGGAGATTCTATGCATGGTCTTATTTGGAATGTGGGACTAGATTTTCCTCAAGTTACAAGCTACTCCTGAGAGCATACTATTTTCTTTAAACTATATGTAACAAGAACAACTGTTTGCAGCAGCTTTGCAATGGTGAAGAATGAAGAATCAAAGGGTGGCTGAAAAATATCAAAGGAATCTACAGGCGTGTGCGATATGAACCACTAAGACTAAAAAGCACTGTCACAACAGGTTGTAGGTCTGATGGGCACAAGCCGTGGGTGGGACTGATTTCTGGAGACACCAAGGTTGAGGCAAAAAAAATGCTAAAGATTATGACTATAGCGATTACGAGGACCACGTTTAGTGATAGCGGGAATGGTTTTTTTTTCTCTATTAAATTCAAAGTAATTGGTATAGTTCAATGTGAAGAAGAGCGGTCTATTGCCGCCCATGCAACAATACAAAGGCGGCTTAGTCCAAAGCATCTGTAGTGCTCGTCATCTTCTTTGAGTTTTGTTCACATGCCTGCAAAATCACGATTTTGAATTTCATGTCTGGAATTGGCCATTGGAAAGAGTTTTATATGGGGATTTTAGCTGTACAAGGCAACCGAATCAAAATAATCGTCGTCAAAACTAAATATGGAAAAGGAACATAGAAAGAAAACAAAAGGGTTATTTGTAGCAATAGTCCTTCAATTCTACTCAGAGGTTACCTTTTGATCATCAATTCAATATTAATTGCAGAAGTCATTCAATTGGGGTGTGTGTTGCACTATAGTCTCTATCGTCAAGTCTCTATAACTGTAGGCTAATGGTGCAATACAACCCACTAATTTGAAGTGAACTTTAAACGATTTTTGAGAGTTGAGTGAACCAAAATGTAACACGACAGTATAGTTGATGGATCATGCTACATAATAATCATAACTGAAACGTCACATTTGCCCATCAAGCATTTAGAGATATTTGGCACGTCATCATGTTAAAAATAAAAAGTCACATACTTGCGGTAGGGATTAATGGTGCACACAACACCAATTGAGTGAATGATGCAACTAATATTCGTTGAGTGACCACAATGTAATTCGAGTATAGTGAGGGATCATTGATACGAAATAATCCAAAACAAAAAAAAGATGAAAAGTCAGCCGTGATATAAATCATTAACCAAGGGTTATGTATGCACGCACATCAATCCTTGTCATAGCAATATTTAGTGAGAAGTTGTCAACTTTCGATAACCAACCAGTAAGTGCAGTGATATGGACATTGTTTGTTTTAAACTTTCAAATAATAAAAAGAGAGTGTAAGGATTTCCCCACTCTAATTATCCACTTGCACTCTTTTTTAGTTCTAAAATAGAATGTAAGTGAATAAACTGGGAATGGGGAAATCACCACTTCTAACAAATAAAAGGACAAAGAAAACAACATTATGAGGCTCCTCATTTTTAATAAAATGCGAAAGTCATTGTAGTTAACATATTTTCCTATATTTCTCTCTCCAAAAAGTGTCCAATATAAATGAATATGATCATGGTAAAATGTATTAAAATATTAGGATATGATGTCACTAGAAGTTATTCGCTTCTCAAATTAGGCGATACTTGAGGTTCTTTATTTTTCTATTAATGGGGGATCGTACATTTGAAGTTTGAATATTTTTCAATACCGAAAAGACAAATACCACTGGACAAAAGTTCAAATAGTTCATATGAAGCTATTTTATGAACAAGATGTTGATATTGTTGGAGATTTGTATTTTCTGTTTCTTTTTGAACATATCCCTACATTTAACATTTTATTGCGTCCTTAAAAAAATATTGGTATAAATGGTAGAACTATAAACTAGATCATTATTGGAGTAGTGAAATCACTTCAAGCCAAAAAGACGACTCAAATATACTCTCAAGTGTTGAACTCTCACGTGTATCCGGAACTGGAAAGCCACAAAGGACTTCTGTCCGGAACACGTGCTGTAACATCGCACAAATAGAAGGAGAGAGAGGAGAGAGAGAAGACGCCACTCGTCAGCACCACTTAAACTTAGAAATTTTTCTTTCGCCTAAATGTTTCCCTACTTTTTGAGATTCTAAAACACAGACGGATTATAATTCACAAAACACAAGCTTTTCCAAGGGGGACTGCCCTCTGTCAAAGACTCGGCACTCATGTGAAATCGATTTTTTCTTGAGTACTTTATGCTTAATTTCCTCTCAAATTTTTCTTTCTGGTTAGCGTAATATTATGGTTTTTTTTATTTTTTGTGAGAAGAATGTTGTTGTTTATTTATCTTTTTTAGTTTCATTTCCCTCTCTGCCCTTTAGTTTTGGAAATTTTTTTGGTGCTGAATGTTTTATCGTATAGCATAGTGATAATAACAAAGCTTTCTTCTTCTTCTTCTTCTTCTTTTCTGTTCTTTCTCATCAGCTTTGGAGTTGTTGTGAAAAATAATTGGACTTTTTGGGACATTGTTGACAATGGAGAGCCCTAGGACTCCAGAAACCCTAGAAGCTCAAAACCCAAGTGGTAAAACCCTAGAAGAGGGTTCTGGGTTGTTAGAGTGGAGTGAAAACTGTACTGGGTTAGAATCTTTTTCTGACATTTTGGGAGGTAGTGGGGAAAGGGTGGATGTTACTGGTAATGATGTTGGACTTGGAACTGTGGAAGCGGCAGCTCAAGTGTTAGAAGCTGAGAAAGGAACTCTAGATGGTATAAAAGGAGAAGATTTGGAATTGGGTGTGGATTCGATGTCTGGTGTTTTAAACAGTTGCGTGAAAGGTGTGGGGGCTGAGGAGGTTGTTTTGGTTAATGGTGAGTCTGATGGAGACAATGAGGCTCAAATGGGCTCTAAGCAGTTGCAACCAGATAAGGAAAATGATGTTCAAATGGGTTCAGTGGAGCCACAATCAGATGGGAGCTTAGAGGGCTTGGGTGGAGATGAGAGTAAAAAGGATGGAGATCAGAAGATGGCTGAAGATGATGGCATGAATGAAGACAAAGCATTGGGACCAAATGGGATTGATACAGCTAGCAAGAAGATAGAAGTTTCTGGTGAAGGTATATCGCTGTTTGTGGATTTTAGTGGGCCTCCGCCAGGATTTAATGAAAATGATCTTCATGTGACAAGTTTTCCTGGGTATGAAAGCAAGGAAAATCTAGAAGAATTTGGAGATGATGAACAGGAGAACAGTATTGATTATCAAGATTATGATTTTGCCGTGGGTGATATTGTATGGGTTAAAACCAAAACTCAGACATGGTGGCCGGGGAAAATTTATGATCCTGTAGATGCATCAAAGTATGGTGCGAGCGATGAACAAGGGGCTTGTCAACTTGTTGGATATTTTGGGATGAGTCATGTTGCATGGTGCCATCCTTACCAACTAAAACCTTTTCATGAGTACTTTGAGCAGATGTCAGGGCAGAACAAGGCTAGAATATTCCTTGGAGCTGTAGAGAAGGCTCTCGAAGAGTTTGGTCGGCGTGTAAAATTGAATATGACTTGTATGTGTGTTCTGAAAGAAAATCGCCTCTCAGTTGGTGGTGCAGCATCTGATGAAGGAGTTCCAATGCCTGAGCGCAAATCTGGTGAACTTGGTGAATTTACAATTACTCATTTTAATTCTGCAGAGTTTCTTGCACATCTCAAAAATCTTGCACAAGTCGTTTCATCGGTTGGAATGCTTGATTTTACTGTCACACGAAATCAATTATCAGCCTTCTACCGCTCCATAGGTCACAGCCAGCTGCCTATGCATCTACTCCAGGAGACAAATTATGCTAGAGACGTTGCTCATTACAGGTCAATGGCTACAAGTAATGCTGACATTCAGGTTGGACATGAAGATACTGAGTTAGGTGAAGTGTTCTTGAAAAGCACACCATTAACTACTTCGCAGAAGCGGTCAAAGGATAAAGTTTTACATCAAGAGACGAATGAAGGGAATGCAGTTTTAGTCAAGGGTTTTGATGGGGACAATGGTGCTGATAAAGGTTTCATCGCAGGTTTAAAATCCGGGAAGAGAAAGATGAAGAGGGATTCTGAAGTTGAACATGAGAGCAAGGCTTTCGATGTAGGAAATGATGATGGTGCGAATGAGGGAATGATTGAAAAAGGCATGGAGTCAAGAGAACGGAAGAAGAGCAGGTACTTGTCTTACCCATACATAAACTGGGAGCAGAAAGGATTGCTTGCTGAAATGGATGATGGCAAAGTTTTGAAAGCTACTCATGAAGGTGTCGCTGCAAATACTGATGCTGGCCAATCTAGTGGGCCGCCTTCTAATTTTAAATGCAGCGGTGAGAAGTTCTGGAGAAAATGGTATAGAAGGCTTACAGGTGTAAGTGGCATATCTGGTAATTCAAACTTAAAAGATGCATCTTCTGCTAACTTGCTTTCAGAAGTCTACTCTGCTGCTGTCGACTGCCTATATCCAAACGAAAACAAGACATTTGATTCAGTTGGCTGGTTTTTTTCTAGATTCAGGATTTCGGCATTCCATGACGAATCTATTTGTGAAACCTATGGTAACAGTATGGCTGGTCAGGATGAGGATAAAGATGCTAAACCCTGCCTGTTGGGTAGTGGTCAGAATGAGGCCAAATGTGAACCCAAAAATAAGAAAAAGGCTAATCTGAAGCATCCAGAGGGTAAAGATTCTGCCAGCCTGCCGAGTTTAGATCAAATCACCACAACTGCTAAAAAAGAAAAGAAAAGGGGACGAGCAAATTTGGGAAAATTGAAGACTAAATCCCTTTCTGGGCTATCAGATGTGAATATAAGCATTTCCGCTGATAACTTTTTGGGGCAAGATTCCTTGGATATAAGTCCTCTCATGCCTTGTGGTAAACCTAAGCAAAAGAAAAGCAAGATGGAGGAACGAGCAAGTCCAGTGTGTCTGCAGACTAAACAAACCACTGTCATACCAGATTTGAATGGGAACAATCTTGTACCTAGCCTTCTCGTTGATGATCAACAGCCTATTGGCCATGCTGCTTCTGAAGGTAAAGTTGAGTTAGAAAAGGGGTTAGGGAATGAAACTGCTTCGGAGCCTTCAAAGCCTAATATCATTGCTGGCTTTGTAGATACTAATGGAAACAATGTGAAACCTGGTACCTTGGTTGTGGATTTGCGGATATCTCCCCAAGCTTTGTCATGTCTAGACTCTAAACAGGTCACCGGCCTGCTCTCAGCTGAAAGTAGGCCTGTACAGAAAAAGAGAAAGAGAAGGGAGAAAGCAGAAGCAAAGCATCCAGCTGATGGTATTCCAGATTTGAATGGAAATAGTGCTGAATGCAACTCATTGGGAAAGGAATTCCAGGAGTCCAATGGCCTTGCACCTCCAATTAAACCTGAGAGGAAGAAGAGGAGGAGAAAAGGAGAAGCTACTACTATACAGAGGAAACTGGATATGAATCATGGTAAAGCACAGATTACTGAAAAGGCTCTAGGGACTGCTCTTCTGTTGACCTTTTCCCCAGGAGTACCAATGCCTTCAAAAGATGATTTAATTTCAACATTTTGTCGGTTCGGGCCCTTGAAGGAATCAGAGACACAGTTGTTAAAAGATCCTGGTTCTGCCCAGGTCGTATTCATGGAAAATGCTGATGCTGGCGAAGCATTTCGGAGTTTAGAGAAGAACAACCCTTTTGGTGCAAACCTCGATAGTTACAAGCTGTTTCATCTTCCATCTGTGTCCAGGGTTTTAGAAACAGGCTGGTCTCTACCTACAAGTCTTTCCTCTCCAACTATGCCTGGAAAGGCACCTCGCCTTGACTTCATAAGGCAGAATCTTCAGATGATGACATCAATGCTAGAGATGTCGGGGGATAATCTTTCTCCAGAGATGAGAGCCAACCTAGAGTGTGAAATTAAATCCCTCCTGCAGAAGGTGAGCTCTATGACTGGTTCTTCCTCTTCTTAGTTTGGACTGCAGGTTATGTAGTTTTTATAAGGGTTGTCTGTAAATGTAGCGACTGGCTCCTTGGGCATGCTCTGTAGGTGGTGTTATGTTCGAATTGGAACCTCTGTAATTTATTGCATGAGAGGGCATAGGCAAATGACCTATTGCATTGGAACCTCTGTATCTCTAGCAACTCCGTTTTTCTTTATTTACATTCTCTCTCTCTCTCTCTCTCTCTCACGCGCGCACACACAAAATTCATTATATCTGGATGCTTTATGGTATAAGTTTACTAAGACGGATTTGAGTCTAAAATGACACCCCAATTGTTGGTTGCTTTACTCACGCACAGAAGATCTTCGTTTGTAACTGCATGTTTGATTGTGTTTAAGGTTCTAGGTTATTTTAACCATCACCCCCCCACCCACCCCCAAAAAAAGGATCTAGTTGATGTTTAAGCTACAAAACAATAAAGGAACGACCCAAAAAAAAAAACAATAAAGGAAAGAATGATGCGTTTTCAGGTAGAATGCCTTCCCACACCGGACATGAAAGTAGCCTTTCAAAGACCAATTGCTATGCAAGAGAAGTCTCCATCGCAGTCACTGTTGCCGCATGGCCACTCATTCTCAATGCCTCTTATTGATAGTTGGCGACTCATTTTCATACGACTCTATTAACAAGAGAGGATCAGCAATCAAACATCCTGCACTGAATTGGGATGTTCCAATCCATATACAGGTCATGCAGGGCTTTCGGTGTTTGAGCTTATTTCGAATGCCTCTGAAGTCGCCAGTGAAATTGATTTTTAAGTGACAATACAAAGCTTGACGCCTCAACTGGAAATTTTTAGTTCAAAACAAGTCTTGCAGAACATATCAAACAAAATTATTTCTTCATATCTATTCTGAAAATTGCTAAATTCTAATGCTAAAGGTTATCCATCCAAAATACAAAATCCATATTTTGGAAATTGCAAAGAACTCCCAAAATCATGAAAACCTGTTTGAACAGAAAACAACAATGCAAATCAATTCAGCAACGCAACACAACGAACAATGTGAAACAACTCCCGAATGCTACTACTCCATAACAGCAACTCCTCCAGCAGCCTTTATTTTCTCAATTATGTCATTTGCTTCCTCTTTGGTAACCCCTTGTTTAAGGACACAGGGTACCTTTTCAACGAGATCTTTAGCCTCCTTTAATCCCAGACTGGTAAAGGTCCTGACTTCCTTGATTACCTTGATCTTTGCAGCTGTATCGAACTTCTCCAATTTCACATCAAACGCTGTTTTTTCCACCTTCTTCTCCTCAGCCTTTGACGCACCAGCTGGCCCTCCCTGTGAACCCAAGTCCAAGCCTTCTGTTGATATGGGCTGCAACTTGGGAAGCCTTAGCCTCTCCCCAAGAGTAGGACCCAAGTTGGCAGCGTTCTTCAGGGGCCAGTGCTGCAATTCGCTCGGCGAGCTGAATGATTTTATCTGAGGGTGGAGGTCTAGGGCCATATGGATCATAGAATGCCGGATATTTGTATTTTTTTGGCTTGGCATCGGGATCCCTTGGAGCAAAATCAGGTTGGAAGCAACGAAACTGCAAAGGACCAGTTGTTTCAGGGAGAGTGGGGCGGGCACGAAAAGATCTGGCAAGTGCAATAAGCCTCATGGTTCTTTTCGGTCAGTGGAAAAAGTGCCTCATACAACTTAAGATAGCAGAATAAAAGAGAGCTTCCTGTTTTGAACTGAATGGACAACTTTTGAGAACTCTCTTGCCTGGGATAAAAAAAAAGAAGAAACTTCAATTAGCAAAGGGAAGAACATTGCTCCCTTTTTTTTTGGTTACTATACTGGTAGCAAGCCACTGACAACATAACTAATGTTTCATCATATATTTTACGAATGCAACATCTGCAGACTGGTCAAGTCTATAACTTTAGAGTAATTCTATATGTAAACTTACAGATGTAACAGAAAAACAATAAGAAAAAAGTAAATTTGATAGAGAATTCAAATGGGCATTTCCACAAACATGTGGTGTGAGAAACAGGATGCAATAACAATGACTCAAAGAAAACAAATAAATTCCCCAGAAAAGAAAACTCGACTATCAAATTTTCCAAACTAACCCAATATTAAACTATCCCATTAGCTGAGAAATCTCATTGTACGCGCTTCTGACACTGAACTGACCCCTCTTGACTACAAACTCCTACGGTGGTTCTGGGTTTCTCATAAAACTCAAAACCCGTTGAAGAAACTCCAAAGCATCTCAATATTAAATAATATAAAACAGGGAAACTCCAAAGCATGTAAAAGATTTAACAAAAACCCATAAGGAAGAAACTCACCGTAGCTTTATAAATGCGAGCAAAAACAACCGCCAACTGCAAGAGAGCGAAATAAGACAAAGTGAGCAAAAGCGTAGGAGATGACTATGGAAATTGTTCGGGTCGGGTTACAATTTGGCCCAAATGAAAATGATCTCTTTTACAGAAAATGGAATTGTCCATTTCGCCCAAAGTTCCTGGGCTAATAGACACAATGGTTTACTCCTTGGCCCAATGTTGGGTCTCAACCCAATTGAGCAGCCCTAACTTTTGAAGGCTTAATGATCCTAATCAGTGTGCAACATGTCATATTATCGAAAGCTTCTATAACAAGGGTTTATCTTGAGGGGTTACAATGAGGGGTTCAATCTAATCATCTAATAATAATTATGCATTGGATCAGACGGGCTATTAAGGACCCTCTTATTCGCCTCCTTGCATATTATCTTTTTATATTATTTTTTAAAATTTTGTTGTTGCTAAGTACGGAAGGAGTACATCAATTAGCACTTTAGTCTAGTGGTGTTTCTTTTTCTGATGTTAAAGAGGTTTTGAGTTCGAAATTCCACCCCATCAATCAAAAGAAGTTAGCTACCCCAATCACATATGATGAAATGGTCCAAATTTTAGTATATTAGTAACTTTCACGAAATACGTAATGTATTAGTGTCAGACGTTATACACATATATTGCCTTTGCTTTTGTAAAATTATAGCATTGTGAGGGTTTCACATAACAAAACTTGTAAGTGTGCCATGACTGGAAGGTCTTTTGTTTGTTCACTTATCCGAGATTTGAGTATAATTTATGGGATAGAAAACAACATACGTTTGTTCAGTCAAAAAAAGCTTATCCAAATAAATTAATTTAAAGTTCTTTCCTTTCATTTGAAATTCGTACCTTTTCCCATCTCGGAGAAGAGGGATGGGAAGGGGAGACTTTTTGATCTTCTCCTTCCATTTCAATTTTCTCGTACCAACAACCAGGGCAGGGCCTAGGGGTTACAATGGAGGAGCACATGGCATGAAAATAAAAAATTTATGCTAGTTTTGCTTTCACTGAAAACTCTGCTTTGCTCTCCTTTTATGTCTCAAGCATTCCCAACCACGCAGACAGAGTTTAAAACACTTTATCAACTTATGATAATAACTTTTGACCTCAAAAAGAAAACTTGTGATAATAACTTAATCACACTCTCCCTCGACCATGCAGACAAACATCACATAAAGATGTAAGACTTAAGCAAGTACTAAATAACACATTAGTCTTTTGGACTAAAAAAAACACTGCTAGTATATCTTCCTCGGTTTTACAACAAAATCCTGCACCTTCGAATTTGTCTTGCACTTGCATCCAACGAGAGTGCAGCAAATTAGAAGAAAGACCAAAAAGAAAGGCAGTACTCATTTTTGGACTCTCCGTCTTCCCATTCACACACACACTCTCGTTGTCCTTGTTAGGTCAATAAAGATGAAAGCAAGACCACCTTCATACATACCCAAAAAATTTAAATAAAAAAACACAAAGAAATTAAAACCCTTTTGGTCTCAAAAGGCATACATGCATATACTTAGAGAACTAGTAGTGGTAGTAGTTTGAATCCTACTCTAAGACGCAGATGATGATTAATTAATTAATTAAAGTCACTAATCACACCTAATTAGATTTTAGACTAATGGGTTTGTGGTGGAGGGGCCATAATTGTTCATGACATTGGTCCATGATCCTAGACCATTCAGGTACCCAAATGACTCCTTTCCATGGTCAGAGCAGCCCTGGTCTTGCCACTCAAGGGACAAGAGCTTAGTGTTTGGCTTCACATCCATTCCATTTTGGTGATGATCCTGATCATGACTTGCTTGATGGTCATATGGTAACATCAACCTCTGGCAAGTGTCCATGAAATTACCGTTCTGCCCATCAAATGATGACATCCCAAATGGAGAGCAAAGGCCATGATGAAAACTTGACTCACCACCCATATTATTTGCAAGCCCACCCATCATTCCCAAATCAGCACCATTCCCCATAAAGTCATAATTCCTAGCATTCCCAACTATGGCTTCCAATTTGCTCTCCATGAAATCAATAGGCCTTGGGTTGTTGTTATTACTCTCAAGCATCCCATTGTACCTGCTGTCCATGAAACTAGGGTTATTATTACTCCCAAGCATCAAGCCATTGAGGTGTGAAAATTGCATCTGATCAGGAAATGAAAGGTGGAGATCAGTTGGGTTGTGAGAAACTGATGAGGATGATGAGCCAGCATTCTGGTTCATCATTGGATTATGAGGCTCATTGGGTTTCTTGGAAGCAACTTTCTTATTCTTTCTGCAGCCACCACCCACAGGAATGTTCCTGAGGGTGCCTCCTTTGGTCCAGTACCTTCTGCAGGTCTTGCAAAAGTACCTAGGCTGAGAGAGGCTGTAGTTGTTGTAATAGCAGAACTTGGTGTGGGTAGAGTCACATCTAGGGCACTTGAGGGCTTGGTCATGCTGGGGCCTCAACCTTCTCTCTATCAAGGGCCGTGAGCAGGTTAACATGTCCCCAGATAATGGTGAGGAAGAGTCCATGGGAGAGTCCTCGTGCATCGTTCCCTGACAGGGAAAGGAATTAGGAGAGATTTTGTCAGAACTATATATGTTTTTACCCCACCACAATATAATTTTACAGGACGACACATTCTTTGTCCTTTCACAACATCTCAATCAATCAAATGTAAAGGCATTTTGGATTGTCCCCAATTTATAAATTTTGGTGCCACAAAAATCCCGGGATTTGTTCCATTATCTTCCACATATATATTCAGTGAAATTAGTCTAGTTTTTCAACAAAATTGAGAAAATAAAAAATGGGAACTTTTTGAAGTGCTCTATAATTATCATCAAAATGAATTTTGATCAAATTTCTCATGGGCAAGTTTTGTTTATGAATGTGGTTCTCTCTCATCCATCAACAATGGCATTTTCTATGGCATTAACTAGAGCATTATCTGAGATAACCCTAGGAAAAATGTGTATTAATTATGCTCAATTATATCTTCTTATTGCATTTAGGGTACGAACACCTAGAATAAAAGCAGGATAAATTAAACCACAAGAAATGGAGTGTTATATATGTATATAAATATTAATTAGCAGAACGTACCTGTAACCAGTCAGATGAATCCATGCAAACTTGCAGAGAGTTATGGCCCATCAAACAAATTCACCTATAGCTCTTCACTAAAACCCAGATCAATGAAGCAGACGAAAAAGGAGCAATATTTTTAACCAAAGCTCTTTCTTCACACACACTTCATTTCCTAAGCTCTCTCAGTCTCACTAGAGTAAGAAAACCAGTTTGTTTATAGAACTAGAAAAGGCACTGAGAGAATTAGTGAGGAGATGAAGAGGAGGAGGGTTTTTATTGTGTGGCTTCTTGTTGGGTTGGTGTGGAAGAGTGGAACTATAAGAAGGCAACAAAAAGGCTGAGTGGCAGCTGCTTGCTAAACTACACTCTCTCTCTCTCTCTCTCTCTCTCTCTCTCTCTGGAAAGGATTTGGCTTACGGCATCGTCGGTGGGCAATATGAGTGGGCCCCCACAATGTCTGCACGAGGCCCAACACTGGCCCCACCCCTTACCACAGCTTGACTAAAACCCCTCCTCCTCTAACCAACGGCCACGATGCCATCAAGGGAGTTTGGGCTACACAACCTGGGCCGTTGATGTTGGTAGTGCACACGTCAGAGATCACGGCGTGGTCGTCACACTTGAACGAGCGTCAGTTTATTATGTGGACATGACAGAAGCTGAGAGAGAGACTGAGAGAGGGTTTGAGTTGAGACTGAGAATATTTGGGTCCTCGATAAAGAAGCATACCGAAAGAGCACTCCACTTGCGGGCCCTAATGTGTGGGGGCCCTTCTCCCTCCTCCTACAAGCAAAGGATATATTCTCCCCTCAACCCTCCAGTCACGTGGCACCCGTTAGTATATAGGCAATGTGTATGTCCCACTGTTTTTATAGACTTACAGTCGAGTTCATAATTCAACTTCATATAGAGAGAAAGCTGATTTCAAAACCCGCTTGATTTGATATAAAATATTGTTCTCAAACTATATATTGATTGAAATGTTTGATGAGCTAAATTATCGTCTGAATACATGATTTATAAATTAACAATTAATGAGAGCTGCGCTCTTTATCACGTTTATGTTTATTTTGTATATAAAGTTTCATCGTACACTTTGCAAAGAAGAAAAAATAAGAAATGAGAATCGAACCTAGAACCCATCGTAAAAGAAGCTCTAATGCCACATTTTAATAACTACCAATCCTAACATTTTAAGCCATCAATTCATACCAAGCATAAAATTACAACCTAACCCGTATGTAACATTAGCTTTCATAACCCAACTCAAATGAAATTAAAAGCTTGGAGGGGTTATGGCTTGGAATTTAGAACAAGGAACATTCGAATTATGCTCTCATCATCAGTGTAAAATATAAGTAAACAAGCATGCATCATGCATGCCATAACTAAGTAATGGAGGATGCTGGATCTTGGAAGCTTGAGGTTGATGGCGTGATGGACACACTGAAAATCATGGGGGCCCAAAGTTCACTTTGTCAGATGAGTGAATAAAGTGGGGTGTGTGCCCACATTAATTTCACCGTACAGAAACCAACTGTTCTATATTCTTATATCTATACAAAGGAAAGGACGACGGTGAATCCATCTGATCTGTTTTAGTGTTCTTCTCTCTGCTATGCATCAGATTTCAATGATCAGCTTCCATTTTATCATTTTGCTTTGTTTCTTTTCAATTATTTGTTGGTGTTGAACCAATTAAAGAAACTTTCATAATTACTTTGTGACGAGCTTGCATGCGGGGGTTTTGAAAGTGAGCAATCATTTGTTAGGTGTTGAGCCATATGCATGAAGGACCACGTACCACTGATTCTTCCTATATGTGTTTTCCAAAAACCTATTAAATTTATCAAAATTAATATGTTTGATCTCTCATAAAAAAAGTAACTTGCTTCAACTTTGATGAGTACTATTCATCCATTTATCGACCTTGCAAACCTTAGAGCGCTTAATCACGACCATAGTATAACAAGCGAGCCAAATTTTATGTGAGTAGAGTGTAAAGAACGACTTCATACATTCTTTAACTTACAACTGCTTGTTTTCGTAATCGAGTAATTGTGAGAAAAAGATGCATATACTTCTTCCCAATACAGTCTTCTCACATGTCTATTTGTACTTGAGAGCATTTGTGTCTCACATTGCTTGGATGACGTGCCTAGCTAATATTATGAGTTGTTAGGATAGCTAGTTAAAGATCTAGAGAGTGAGAGTGAGAGAGAGAGAGGGAAAGATTAAAAACCCTTCATCTACAAGGAAAAACTTGGGGCCATTCTTTTTCAAGACAAAATTGAAGTGCAAAAGTGCATATAAGAAACAAATCTTAGCTCCTACACACTTGTCAACTTTATTTACATTATCCGTTTCAAAAAAATTTGTTCTTCCTTCATGGAACTAGGGCATTTTAAGAATAAAAAGACCAATAATTCAGTATTAATTTGGATATGTACTACTTTTCCTTCTGCATTGCACATGCCATGCACTACGGGGGCATGTTTTGTATATTCGATAAATCAAGGATCAGACAGATCACTTTAAAAGTCTGTCCCTTAATTCATTAACTTATTACAACTAAAAATGGGTCGATGCAAATCTTGAGTTTCAAGCTTCTGAACACCTGTCCCATAATGGCATAATCTCATCTCTTTATGTAACATCTTGCTTTGTCTTCGATCCTTTTTTAATTTCTTCTCTTCTCTCACTCAAATAAAAGCTATGGAAAGGACAGTTCATAACGCCACAAAGTTTATTCTTAAATTCTTTACATCTTTGCCTCTTCTTTGTTTCTTTTTTCAAATGGAAGAATGTCAATGTGCTTCTTGTTGTTCACCATCAAATACAAAACCACGATCTGGGGTTACAAAATTTGAGTTCAAATTTCAAAATTCCAAGGGCATGGCCTGTGGTCCGTGGATATATCATATGATATGTATCAAATGCCAAATTGTGTCCAAAGCATTCCTAGCCCTTTGATTATCATCGGGTTGTGATCGATGATGTGGTGGTCCTATTCATCATGGTGGTCAAACAAGCCAACCTCGTTATGGGTGCAGTCAATCAGGTTCTTTGGGGCCAAAAAAAGGACCCCACCATGAGTTCTGTCGATCCCAAAGCCTGTTAGGCCATAAGTAGGTTAATGATGCAGGTGTTGGAGCAAAATCCTCAACTTGGTCTTGGGACCATATTATTGATTACAAAAGTTTCATGATGTCATTCTCTTGGTCATCATCTGGGAATTTCGTAGTGGTTCTAAACTTAGAGGTTGAGAGAAAAACTCTCAAAAAATAAAGTAATTAAGAATAATGTGTCTCACTCATGAGAGAGATAAACATGGATGATTGTGTTTGACCAAAAACAAACAGGAAAAAAAAAAATGTGTATAATTTGTGGTATTTATATCAATGAATACATTTTATCTCGAAATTTTGTAATATGCTAAATTAAGAATTAAGAGATAATACGCGTTTAACAACAGAAGAAAGAGAAATACACATTATTATATATAATTTATAGCGTTTAACGAAAAAAGAGAAATGTTGTACACATGATTGTATACAACTTTATGACTTCCAGAGGTATTAGTGAACTAGCATGTTCCGCATCCATTCTCATGCATTTGAAACCAAAACAAGATTGAGAAAAAGAAGATTACGTGTGGTATGTGACTAGAACGACCAATAGTCTAAGATTATGTGCACTTTCTCTTCAACTAAGAAATCAACGGCATGTATCTATATATACACAAGTCTGCTACAAGATCACACTGCGGTCAGAGTCTTATGCGCATGCGCGACACTTCCAGCGGTGACTGCGGAGCAGTACATAGCAAGCAAACAAAGTCACAAAAATTCTCTTCTTCATATAACTCTACCAAATTAATTAATTGACCAATCTAGTGGGTCGGTGGACAGGATCTTAAGCCCCAGCCTTTTTTTATTTTTGTTATAATTATTTTTATTTTTAATTAAAAGAAAAAACCCTATTCTAGTTTCTCTTTGTTCTCTAGCTATCTGTCAGCATGATTGTTGTCTCTGTTGTTTCTGCTGGGTCCCAGCATTGTCCAGTGAACCCGACCGAGCGTCCCTTGGCTTTGATGTAACCCTAGACATTCTTGCGTCGTCTTCTTGTGCATATTTTTGTCCTCTTTGTTGATTGTAGCTTCAGGCTTGTGTAAGTAGTCAATATTAATTAATTGTTAACTCTTTGAGAATCTAGAGCGAATTTGGATTGTTTTGAGTGCGATGCTGCTTGTATTAGTCAATCAAATAGGCTAAGCAACTAAGTGACTTATTTAGTGGATTGACACAATATTTTTAGATATGTATAGCGTATATTGCATGAGGATTATGTTCACATTGTGTCTTATCTTAGATCTTTAACATTGACAATATATATATATATAATCTCTTTCCATTGAGGGATATTTTGAAATTATTTTATTTAACGGACACTAGTCTAATTTTTTTTCAATGATCCAAACCGTCTATTTTTCAAGTCTTCATTCAAAGATCATCCTTAAAAAAATCAGACAAATTGAAAATCATCAAGGCATCTAATTGAGACCAATAAAATCAATGAACATAGTGCTTCAAGAAAGTACTTAAATTTCAATAATTTAATTGAATGACCAAATGATATCGGATTCAAGTGATTTTTGTGTAGAGATGATCTTTGAATGAATATCTACAAAAATAGATGGTTTGGAATAGTGAAATATAAGGTGGAGTAGGTCATACAAAGATATCACCTTAGCAGCAAACTCGTCTATGCAGAAAAATTGCTCAAAGATAGTAAAGTCTTGATCACCACCGAGATCCCAGAGCCCCAACACAAAGGAACTCGGCAAGAAAGGAATAGAGATTGCAGCCAATAGCCCTAGCTGCCTAAAATCAGAACCAACACCGAAGATCCTATAATGCACAAAAGACATACTATCTAAGAGATAACAACAAAGCTAGTGTAGGGAAACCCGTAACCCTAGCCATCACTCCCCACCGCTACCAACAAAAGCAGAGCAGCCGAACCTAAGTTGATGGCGAAGGAGAGGAGAATACAAAGACCTGATCGAAACAAAATCCTTTTTCTCATAGATTGGCAAGTGCAGAGAGCGACACTACCACACAAACTAGAAGCCAAATCAAATCAACAACACCAACAAACGACGTCGAGAAGGGACTAGACGCCAAAGACAATCGAAAGCAGAAGCGAATGTGAATAATAGAGGGAAGATGGAGCTAGAAAACCTCGTCGGGCCAAATCCCAGGCACCCTAACTTTTAACCTTCGCTGAGGGTACAAAGTGGGTATGGGCTGAATGAGACCATGGGAGGCATCGATAATCGAAGGTGAGGGTGACAGGATGAGGACAATGGAGCGCTAGGGAGAAGGAAGTGTGATGACGGCAACAGCCAAAGAGCAAAAGCTACACCCAAACCCTAACGCTAGTCTCTCCTCGCTAGGAGAGAGAATCCATGTACTTCTATGCTTAATTATTGAATTTTCGTACAATAAAATAATAAAAAGTTCTAACATTAAATTATGACATTTGGTATGAAAATAAGTTATGTCATGCATTTTGTGCTATATTACACTAGAGTTTATGGATCATTTAAGGGTGAACTATTCGTTTTAATATATATATATATATATATATAGAGAGAGAGAGAGAGAGAGAGAGAGAGAGAGAGAGAGAGAGAGAGAGAGAGAAATAATAATAATAATAATTTGGGTATGTGCACAATATGACCAATCCGCATGTTACCATCAAAGATAATAGTGGTTTTATTTTTCAAAATTCGTTGAAATATTAACTATCAATCGACAAATTACGGTTCTTGATCATCCCACTTGAAAATATGTAATTACTTCCTTTAAGATTAAGCCATTGATTAGCAGTACATGCGTGCATCACATGGTTGGCGGCTTGAGAGAAATCCACAGCCAATTTCCACCGCACGCCATATATTAATAACCTAATCCATATTAATCCTCGACTATAATTGGTTTCATACCATCAAAAGCTATATCACCATACTGATTGATATATTTTGGGTTGCACGTATAATCAGAAACGAATCAAGAATTTTTTTCAATTTTTTAAAAAATCTTTTCCTTGACCTGTGTCTCAATGAAGGCATGTATTAATGTGAAGATACTTACCGGTTTCAAACTTCTTCAGATGATCCCAAACCTTGGCCTTCTTTTTCTCGGCGGCAGAATCACAAGTGGACCTGAAGAAATATAGAGTAGAGAGGAATAACAAGTTAGTGCTAGTGCTAGACAAAGCTTTTACGAATGAGACAATGACTGTTACCTTCTCGGCAGAGCTACTTTGTAGCAACGAAAGTGGAGCTCGAAACCCCTGGCCTTCTTTTTCTCGGAGGCATTCTCGGCACAATGCCGCCATAATAAGAGGAGAGAGAGAGAGAGAGGCACGAAGAAAGCATCTATTGAAACACAAGTTTGTTTAAACTTGATATGTACGAGCCAATTACACCAACAGTTTTCACCGGTGAATTAAAACAAGTAAATCAAGTAAGGCGGTGACTTAAACACTAATATAAGAGAAAGAAGTGAGACTTACAACAGCAGTTACATTACCCAACAATGGCAACCCTTGCGGCATCAGGCAACTCCACGAATAATAGTAAAGATAGCAGTGCTTGTACATATGCCCTCGAACCAGTAGATGAAAATATCCTCTCTCTTTTTGTCAAAAGATGAAAATGTCCTTACTAATGAGTGATGATAAAAAAAAAGAACTTTAAACCAATGTCAAAATAATTTCAATAAATAAAGATGTATTGAAAAAAAAATGTAAGTTGGATTCAAGTGCGGGGTAATTACTAATTATTAATTGTTATATTTTATATTTCAGATTCGTGAGACATGCATTGCATCCGTGTGTGACTTGTGTAACAAAATTAGTGATAGCAATTTTAAGATGTTTTAACATTACAAAATTAATGATAACAAATATATCTTTCAACCTTGTCCATCGGTTGGTACAACCCAACTAACTCGAGATAATTAAGCTAACATCATGCACTAATTACAAAGAAAATATAGTTAATAAGCCGATTACAATCAATCTAGTCTCATTTTGCTAAAAACAAAATAAGGTCTAAAGAGAAGCTATATATTTATAGGTGCATGTCAGTCCACTACAATGAGAGCTTGATAACCTTCATCAGAGATAGCTAATTCCATGAGATAGTCGGGGCCAATTTCGCCTTCATTGTCGAGAAAGTGCTTGAGCAGATTGTTAGAGAAGCCATTCAGAATGGACACCCCCGGTTGTGTACGAGGCGCCACTGGCTTCTCCGGGTTGTACTTTGACAAAGTCTAAAACACCATGTGTGGCACAACATCCCCGTACCCTTTCTCCTTATACTTGCTCTGTATTGCCTGGTAATCAATCTCCCAAGAAGTTTGGGCCACACTGGCACTATCAAAGTCCGCGTGACTCAACACCAACACTTTCTTGATCATCTGATCCAGCTTCAAGTTCTCATTCACAGCCACTTGGAGAATCAAATCAAACAGCTTCTCAAAATCAAGGTCGACACCGCAGGTCGTCCTCCTCACAAACTCGTACTTGTACCTAAGATCGTCGCCGCCTTGTATGGAATGTAGCTGAGCCTCACGACTGAATTGGATCACCTTTCCTTTCCATGGCTCTTCACTCAGTTCAGACAGCAAGAGCCCCAAAGCAATGGAGACCTCCAAGGAGACCTCGTCGTCCATGAATCTGGGGTGGACATCACATACAGCCAACCAGTTTTTGAACTTGCCCTGCTTTGAGTAGACGTCCTCCACCATTGACTTCCACTGGAGCTCAGCAGCGCGGCCAATATTCCAATGGTGCACGTAGCCTGTGATCTCATGCAGAAGCAGAGCATCCGCCAACGACGACGAGGAGGACGAAATCTTGCCAGCACTGCCACTACAGCAGCAGCTGGCTTTCACCTTCTCCAAATAGGTCTCAACAACCAGTTTTTGAACTTGCCCTGCTTTGAGTAGACGTCCTCCACCATTGACTTCCACTGGAGCTCAGCAGCTCGGCCGATATTCCAATGGTGCACGTAGCCTGTGATCTCATGCGGAAGCAGAGCATCCGCCAACGACGACGAGTATGCCTTCTTTAAGGAGGGCAAAACCTCATCCTTGAGCCGCTTGACCATGACCCTGTCGGCATATTTGGCCTTGTTCCGTTTTCCTTTACCATGATCTCCATCTAATTCTAATTTGTGATATTCTTCTGGCGGGAAAAACTTCCTGGCAATGCTTTCAAGCAGCAAAGTGATGTTGTAGTCGGGGTTCAAGTCCGAGAATGTTGACAAGGCATAATGCATATCGCATGCGGCCAAGGTTATTCTGTCGTCATTATCAGATTCAGATAATTGCTTCAATTTGTTGTTTTTGTTTTGCTCCTCCTCCGTCTCCTTGAATTTCAATTTCTCCATATCAGACTTGAATATCTCGGCCAAAAGATCCGAAACCTGGTCGTGCAACAATTGATAATCGCGGTCATGCTTGTACCGCTTAACAGCCTTGTGCAACAATTGATAACGGTTGTAGCCCCGACGGGGAGTAAATGTCTTGGCCTTCTCGAAGGATGTGGTACACAATGTCCATTGAGGTGGAAAAAGCCCGGAAGGACCGGACAATAGACGCCAGGTTGCACAATAGTGTCTTGGGGTGATTGTGATGGAGCCAAAACGCAGCCATGTAGAAGGCAGAGAGATTGACCTTTCCATCCAGTAGGTTGCAGACGAGCTTGAGGGCGGTTAGAGGATTGTGGTACCAGACCAGCGGTAGCACTTGCTTCACATAATTACACGAGGCCTCCATCACGGCCGGGTCGTGAACGTCTTCTTCCCCGACGTTGTAAAAGAGATCAAGGAATGAATTGTTGTGTTGTCTTTTGTGATCTCTCCGTTAATTTATATAGGAATACGAAGTCTCCCTGTTAATATAGGAATGAATAGAAATAATAATTTTCGACCAAAAAAAGAAAGAACAGAAATAATAATAAGAATAGGAAGAAATCTCCCTGTTAATATAGGAATGAACATAAGTAATAAGGAAAGTATTAAAATGAATAGAAATAATAAGGAAAGAAATAGCCATTACCTATGTCTTGTAGGACTAATTTCTCTATAATATATATAGTTAATAAAATTATTATAGCCTGAACAAGAGAGCAAATCAGACATACCCATATTGATGATCTTTTAATTTGGTTGGATTCGGATCTTTCGCTTGTTTTTTCTCTACTTTGATCTCCTCTGAACCACTACAAGAAATTTTGAAGGGAAAAACTACAAGTAATCTCTCTCTCTCTCTTTTCTTCTCCTTTTTGATTTTTTTAATTTTAATTTTAATTTTTTATGATTCACGAATGGATCAGTTATGATTGGCTCGCGAAGGCTATGCAAATGGGTATGTTTTATTATCAAAGAAACTGTATACATGTTTTATTTTGTTTGATTTAGGTCTTACATTAAAGATGCTGGTGAGTTGATTTAGGAATTATGACTTTGGGTATGAAATTCACACCGTCGACTGTTAGTTTCAATTGAGTGGAGTAATTGTAATATATTTCACTGCAATATTTAGATTTCTCATCATCAAAAGAGAAAAAGAAAGATTCTAGAAAGCACATTAAACAATGTGATAGAGCTGACCAAATTTGGCCCAAAAAAATTTGAATCCATGGTTGGAGATGGGCTTTGTTGGCCTATGGCCCATGGCTGGAGATAGCCTTATCGGTTTCAAACTTCTTCAGATGATTCTATCGTGGGCTGACCCGAACAAGTGAAAAGCTGGATCTTTTGTTGCCCAAAAAAAATGGAAAAGGAAAGACAAGTATCAATCAATTAACTCTATCTTCGTCTGCAACTCATCAAAATTGTGAATCTATTTCACTGCATTCACCAAATGAAATATAGCCTATCACATAGACCTAAATTCACTTGGCAAACTTTTTATGTTATTTCTTTTGGTTAACAAATTTTTTTTTATGCTTTAAAATACGTTCTACATTCAAATTGTGAACCCCTGGAAAAATTCAATTACAATTGAAACCCGAAGACAAGGGAGGATAGTTCTCATTATGTGGTCAGTCAAACAATATGGGTATAATATTTTTTAGGTTGTATTTCATTCTCCAAAAGAATGTATTTATAGTACAAGGATGTAACCCTAGTAGCGTCAAACTAGGAAACAAGATAAAAACTTAATTACACAATATCTGTACAAAAAGGAAAGAAATATAATCATAATAAACTAGGAAATAAATATCTTAATTAACCTAGGATCTTGTTAACACTCCCCCTCAAGTTGGAGCAAAGATGTCACGCATGCCCAACTTGTCAAGCGAGTTGAGAAAGATCGTAGTAGACACAGCTTTCGTAAGAACATCTACCAGTTGATACTCAGATGATATAAACGGAAAAGAAATAATTTCAGCATCTAACTTCTCTTTAACAAAATGTCGATCAACTTCGATGTGTTTTGTATGATCATGTTGCACAGGGTTATGTGCAATTGCAATTGCAATTTTATTATCACAATACAAATCCATGGGTTTCTGGGGTCTAAACCCAAGATCTCTCAACAATCTTCTTAACCATAGTAATTCGCACACACCTTGAGTCATCCCACGGTACTCGGCCTCGGCACTAGACCTATACACCACTTTTTGCTTTTTATTCCTCCAAGTAACAAGATTACCACCAACAAATGTGTAATACTCAGACGTAGAACGTCTATCAGTGACTGAACCAGCCCAATCAGCATCTGTATACCCTTCCACATCTATATGACCATACTTGCAAAACATTAACCCCTTTCTAGGAGTTACTTTCAGATACCTCAAGATGTGCATCACAGCACCCATATGATCTTCACTAGGAGAATGCATAAACTGACTCACTACACTCACTGCATATGCAATATCAGGACGCATATGAGATAAATAAATCAATTTTTCCACAAGTCGTTGATAACGCTCTTTATCTGTAGGGACTTGATCAGGATACAACCCCAACTTATGATTCTGTTAACTAGGGGTATTAATTGATTTACAATCTAACATTCTAGTCTCTGCAAGTAAATCCAAAATATATTTTCTTTGAGACAGAAAGATACCATGTTTAGATCTGGCAACTTCAATCCCAAGAAAGTACTTCAAATTACCCAATGACTCATCTCAAACTCGGAAGCCAGATATTTCTGAAGATTTTGCATTTCTGCCTGATCATCTCCAGTCATAATCATATCATAAACATAAATAATTAAAGCTGTCAATTTACCTTTATGACGCTTTAGATACAAAGTATGGCCTGAGTTACTCTGCACATACCCAAATTTCTTCATAGATGCTGCAAATCTCCCAAACTACGCTATTGGAGACTGCTTCAATCCATATAAAGACTTCCGCAACTTACACACAACACCCTCCTTAGAGGTTACAGGAATACCAGAAGGGAGATCCATGTAAATCTCCTCCTTGAGGTCACCATGTAAAAATGCATTTTTGACATCGAATTGTAATAAGGGTCAGTCACGGTTAGCAGCCAGGGACAATAGTACACGCACTGTATTGAGCTTTGCCACTGGAGCAAAGGTCTCCAAATAATCCACTCCATAGGTCTGAGTATAACATTTTGCTACCAATCTAGACTTGTAACGGTCAATGGAACCATCAGCTTTATGCTTCAAAGTAAAAACCAATCTGCATCCAACAGCTTTCTTCCCTCGTGGCAAAGGAACTAAATCTCATGTTTAATTTTTGTTCAAGGCATCCATTTCAACATTCATGGCATCCATTCATTTTGGGTTAGATAAAGCATTATGCAGCTTAGTTGGCACACATACACTAGATAATTGACACAAATATGATGTATATGACTTAGACAAACGATGAGTCGACATAAAATGGCTAATGGGATATTTAGACTTGGCATGTATATCAGGAGAATATGGTATTTTAGGTTTCCCATGAGTGGTTTGTGGGGGTAATTGATAAGTTGACATAGATAGATCATTAGAAATTACCTCACTTGATTCACTATCACGAGTAGATTAGGGCACTGGCAGTGCAGATGAGGTATTGCATCGAACTCATCCATACAAGAATCATTGTCATTATTTTCATATACAAGCGACTGGTCACTTGCTTCAGTGTGGCCGGTCGTTTCGACACCGAGAGCACCTGCTTCATCTCCAGATATGGGCAACTGATCAAGTTCCAAATGGCGATCAGTCGTTTCTTCACAAGGACCACAAGTTTCATCTTCAGATATGGGTGACATGTCACTTGCTTCAGTGCGACAGGGCGTTTCCTTCCCAAAAGCAGTATCTTCAAACACATTATTCTCCAATCCAAGACTCTCCAAATTACTCCCTCTCTCCCCCTGAATTAGAGAGGAGGGAGAGACATAATAGGGCACTTCTTCATGGAAAGTCACATCCAAAGTAACATACACCTTCTGGGTAGGTGGATGATAACACTTATAACCTTTCTGAGTAGACGAGTAACCAATAAAGACATATCGCAGAGAACAAGGATCAAGTTTACTCCGTTGATGAGAGTATACATAAACATAGGCACATGAACATAGGCAACACACCCAAAAATTTTAAGAGGCAACTTGGAGACTGAGATAAGAGAAACATGGTCACCAAACACATCATGTGGAGTCTTGAAATCAAGTACCCGGCTAGGAGTACGATTAATCAAATATGCAGCATATAAAACAGCATGCCCCCAAAGATAATGGGGAACAGACATATCCAACATAAGAGAGGGGCAACTTCAAGTAACTGACGATTCTTACGTTAAGACACACCATTCTGCTGAGGAGTAAATGAGGTTGTCGTTTGGTGAATAATACCTTGAGCGTGGAAGAAAGATGTCAAAGTGTTATTCACATATTCGCCTCCGTTATCAGTTCGGAATACTTTGACCCGAGCATAAAACTAAGTAGACATCATAGTACAGAACTCTGGAAGGATGGAAGCAACATCATGTTTATTTTTCAGCAAGAAAACCCAAGTGAGTTAGGTACAATCATTAATAAATGTGACGAACCAACGAAATCTGTTCAAAGTAACGCGAGCCGGACCCCACACATCAGAATGCACTAAATCAAAAGGCTTTGCAGCTTTACTGTCACTCAAAGGAAACACAGTGTGATGACTTTTGGCCAAAATATATGTCTTACACTTGAAACTATACTCATCACAAGAGTGAAATAAATATGGAAATAGACGCTTAAGGTAGCCAAATGAAGGGTGTCCCAATCGACGATGCCATAACCAAATTTGTTGTTTGTCTTTGACACTGCAACTTTGAACAGTATTAACGACACGATCACGAATTGGTACAGAAGGCAATGTCAAATAATATAACCCCCTTATCCGTTTACTATGACCAATCGTCTCGTGAGTTACTATGACCAATCGTCTCGTGAGTCTTGAGATCCTGAAAAGAGCAATGTGTATGATAGAAAATAGCGGAAACATTAAGTGTATCAAGTAATCGACCAACAGATAACAAGTTACAATGGATATTGGGAACTAGTAACGCACGAGACAAGGACAAAGTAGGAGTGAGAGAGATTGTGCCCTCACTAGTAATTGGAGAGGGTAAGCCATTAACACTAGTTATGTATGGGTCACGGGTGTTACTAGACAACTCATCAAAAAATTTAGCATCATAAGTCATATGATCATAAGCACCAATGTCAATTATTTAAGTATTGGAGCCAGTACCTGAAATATAATCAGAAACACACAAATTTGTAGAGGCAGCAGCAACAACACAAACAATGGAGTTATCACCCATAATTGCAGCAGCAATTCAACAGATCACGGTAAAGTATACAGCAGAACACAGTAGAGGCACAAATATGGCAAATGCACGAAGACAGGCACGAACACAGAAGAGTACACAACGGAACACAACGAAGGCACAAATACGGCATGTGCACGAAGACAGGAATGACACGAACACAATAGATGAAAGAACACTACAACACGACACACAAACCCAGGAGGGCACACACGGCACAAGTAGAGAAAAAAAATATAAGGATAGAACACGAGTGGGCACAACACACAGGTCACCAGAAAAGTTGGCTTTGATGCCAAGTCAAACAATATAGGTAGAATATTTTTTAGGTTGTATTTCATTCTCTAAAAGAATGTATTTATAGTACAATGAAGTAAACCTAGTAGGGTCAAACTAGGAAACAAGATAAAAACCTAATGACACAATATTTGTACAAAAAGGAAAGAAATATAATCCTAATAAACTAGGAAATAAATATCTTAATTAAGCTAGGATCTCGCTAACATGGTCCACATGAAAATTTGAAGGAAAGGAAAAATTACAAGAAAAAACAAAAAATGCAAATAGTAAATCCAAAACACTATTTAGGTTCCCTGCTTGACTTAGAATTAATTTGGGAGCAAAGTCTCATCATAATACTCAAGCAGTCCTTGGCTTTGCTGTAATGCGCTTCACCCCAGCAAGCGCTACTCCAGTGCCTGCATCATCATATATCGAAACAAGATTATAAATCCATCATAACATGTTTGCTGTAACTTAAGTCAATATACAGCATAAGAAATCAACTTCTACATCTTTTGAAAATCAAGCAGTACAAAGTAACTTTAAAGAAAAATGACATCTCTCGTTGAGCCGATTTAGGAGAATCTAACCCATGAACACAATTCTTTTGTAAATCCAGCCCATACATGGCTCTGATGCTGGGGAATAAAAAATGAACTAATCAGGAGGAAATTCAAGAAAAGTTACTTGATGACTTGCCTTTTTGCAGAGCATTTGATGACACCACATATTGCAACTTAGTCCCTAGCATATTGAACTACTCTAAGAAAACTAGCACCATTGCCAAGGCTTCGGAAGCTGGAGAGAAGTTGAGAGAGTGAAGGAACCACCTTCAAACTGGCAACTGAAAGGCAGAAAGACCAAACGCGAAACAGGGAGATAAACAAAACAAATTTTGATTTCATTTAAACATAAGCTCATTTTCCCTTACATTTCCATTTTCATTCTTTCTTTGGATCAATGATCCTTCTTTACAGTGGCAGTCTAACTACAACAGCCAGAAACTACCCCTAACCTAAGCCTTAAGTGGCTATTACAATGGGAGCCAGCTACAAAAACCAGAAACTACCCTAACCTTTCCTACAATCTACTTTTATTTCTATTTTGTCTTCTCTTCTCCTTCATCCTCCTCTTACTCTTTGTAATCAACTGGATTCATAGCCACCATCTTGAGTTTCATCTTTTGTACTTTGTCCTTCATCTCTCTGGGCTCCAAAGCATCCTTGATGTCTCTGTTTTTTGTGTCAAAACAAATGGTGCGGCTCACAGAACTTGTGTCTCATTTGGCTCTCTTAGCAAGTTGGAGTAAGGTGTGGAGATCCTCTTTGGATTTTATGAAAAATTTGTGGTGTGAAATAGCAGTATTCATTGCTTCATTCAAAGTTTTCTCAGCAACCAACAAATCATTAGTTGCCTTCCGAAACTTTTAGAGAGCAAGTTGTAAGGCGATTGGCATTTTGGCTTGGACAAGATTTTGTGTGGTGTGTGCTATGATCCACTTCACCTATCTTTAAATAGAGCTATTAGTAATTCAATGATCAAGAGAGACAGACAAGTTTCGTGTGATACTAAACATGAAACGTGAAAGAGAGTAGTTGGCCAATGCCATGCCAGCCTCCCTCCATCCCCCGTTTGCTTAGCTGTTGAAGCAGATAGACATTATAGCATTGCAGCAGAGCTAGAAAGCCAGAGCCCTCTCGCTCTCTGTCTGTCTGTCTGTCTGTCTCTCTCTCTCTCTCTCTCTCTCTCTCTCTCTCTCTCTCTCTCTCTCTCTCTCTCTCTCATACGCCAACCCATAAGATAAAAACAAACCTTTTTTTATTTTCACAAAGAATAAGGAATTGCATGGTTTTGCATAGCAGGGTAAATAACCATTTGTCCTTGTATGTTTCCACTTGGCAGTTGACACTTCACCACCTTACTCCCCTCCATGCAATCTAGAGGTGTTAGATGGGACGGGCCAGCTCAACACGGTATGAGCTCGGCCCGTTTAAATAAGGCACGACACATCACGAGCACGAATAGTAATGGGCCGTGCTTGTCTCTGTTTTTTGTGTCAAAACAAATGGTGTGGCTCACAGAACTTGTGTCCTATTTGGCTCTCTTAGCAAGTTGGAGTAGGGTGTGGAGATCCTCTTTGGATTTTATGAAAAATTTGTGGTGTGAAATAGCAGTATTCATTGCTTCATTCAAAGTTTTCTCATCCACTAACAAATCATTAGTCACCTAACTTTGAGAGAGCAAGTTGTGAGGCAATTGGCATTTTGGCTTGGGCAAGGTTTTGTGTGGTGTGTGCTATGATCCACTCCACCTATCTTTAAATAGAGCTATTGGTAATTCAATGATCAAGAGAGACAGACAGGTTGCGTGTGCTGCTAAACATGAAACGTGAAAGAGAGTAGTGGGCCAATGCCATGTCAGCCTCCCTTCTTTCTCAGTCATCCCCCGTTCGCTTAGCTGTTGAAGCAGATAGACATTATAGCATTGCAGCAGAGCTAGAAAGCCAGAGCCCTCTCGCTGTCTGTCTGTCTGTCTCTCTCTCTCTCTCTCTCTCTCTCTCTCTCTCTCTCTCTCTCTCTCTCTATCTCTCTCTTTCTCTCTCTCATACGCCAACCCATAAGATAAAAACAAACCTTTTTTTATTTTCACAAAGAATAAGGAATTGCATGGTTTTGCATAGCAGGGTAAACAACCATTTGTCCTTGTATGTTTCCACTTGGCAGTTGACACTTCACCACCTTACTCCCCTTCATGCAATCTAGAGGTGTCAGACGGGACGGGCCAGCTCAACATGGTACGAGCCCGGCCCATTTAAATGAGGCACGGCATGTCACGAGCACGAATAGTAATGGGTTGTGCTTGTCTCTGTTTTTTGTGTCAAAACAAATGGTGCGGCTCACAGAACTTGTGTCCCATTTGGCTCTCTTAGCAAGTTGGAGTAGGGTGTGGAGATCCTCTTTGGATTTTATGAAAAATTTGTGGTGTGAAATAGCAGTATTCATTGCTTCATTCAAAGTTTTCTCATCCACTAACAAATCATTAGTTGCCTAACTTTGAGAGAGCAAGTTGTGAGGCGATTGGCATTTTGGCTTGGGCAAGGTTTTGTGTGGTGTGTGCTATGATCCACTCCACCTATCTTTAAATAGAGCTATTGGTAATTCAATGATCAAGAGAGACAGACAGGTTGCGTGTGCTACTAAACATGAAACGTGAAAGAGAGTAGTGGGCCAATGCCATGCCCTTTCTCAGTCATCCCCCGTTCGCTTAGCTGTTGAAGCAGATAGACATTATAGCATTGCAGCAGAGCTAGAAAGCCAGAGCCCTCTCGCTCTCTCTCTCTCTCTGTCTCTTTCTTTCTTTCTTTCTCTCTCTCTCTCTCTCTCTCTCTCTCATACACCAACCCATAAGATAAAAACAAACCTTTTTTTATTTTCACAAAGAATAAGGAATTGCATGGTTTTGCATAGTAGGGTAAACAACCATTTGTCCTTGTATGTTTCCACTTGGTAGTTGGCACTTCACCACCTTACTCCCCTCCATGCAATCTAGAGGTGTCAGACAGGACGGGCCAGCTCAACACGGTACGAGCCCGGCCAGTTTAAATGAGGCACGGCACATTACGAGCACGAATAGTAATGGGCCGTGCTTGTCTTTGTTTTTTGTGT